ATAAGTTCCAATCCGGTGGATGAACACACGTTGGTTTCGGTGTTCATGCAGGGTCTTGCGGATGGTCCCGTCAAGACTCACCTGTTCCGGCTTGAACTAGATTCACTAGAACAAGCCATTTCAATTGCGGAGCAGGAAGACTTCAGTCTGAGACAGGCTCGCGCCAGCTCGACATCATATCGTCAACCGAGACGATATGACAACGGAGGTCCAGAGCCGATGGAACTCTGTTATGTAGAGAGCGAGAAGGCTCGCTCTACAGGCTACAAGAAGTTGCAGAGATGCAACAGATGTCAAAAGACAGGACACTACGCTTACGAGTGTAGTGCCCCTCGTCCAGTGTCTCGCGACACTGGGCGTAGTGACCGTCCACCCATGAGAAAGGGGCAGGGACGAGGGTCCGCAGTTGGTGCAAAGACGCAACAACGGGATGGACCGTCAAAAAACGGACAGGATCAGTAGGTGCGGAGCACCCTACTGATCCAGCAACGTCAAGAGAATTTGTAGGCCTCTTGATGAAGGTTGCTCCCAACACACAGACATTGTGCGTTGCTGCTCTAGGTAATGAGATCTCACTCATTACCTTGAAACTCGAAGTGACGAATAAGTTGTCCCTTCGAGCTCTAGTCGATTGTGGGGCGTCCAACAATTTTGTGCGACGCCAATCGCTAGAAGATGGTCACTTTAAATTCAGTGAATGTGACACACCTCCTACGAGGATGACGGTACGTCTTGCGACAGGCGCATCCGTAACCGTCATGAAGCGTATAGTGAAGATTCACTATACGCTAGAAGATACCCAATACGACGATGACTTTATCGTATTGGATTTGGATGACAAATTTGATGTCATCCTTGGAATACCGTGGCTCAGAAGGTACGAACCACGGGTAAACTGGCAACATCGGACAGTAACGATGCCTGCCGCTTGTTCATCAGATGGCCATCTGATGAACGTTTTGGAGACGTCCACAAGCGTGTGGATGTACTACGAGTGAGTGCGATGGCCTCACTTGTGGTACGGTCGTTAGTACGACTGCACAAAACCTTAGTGTACCAAACGGTTACACTTCGGAGCAAAGTTCCGGCGGCTGTGAGGAAACACAGGCTGCGCCGAAGGTCCACCACTCGAATAAGTCGGGTGGACTGGGACAAAGATGTATCCCTAGAGGGGAACATCTAGAAGAGAAACAATCGATCGCTCAGGTTAAGCGAAACGATAATCCTAGATCGACTGGAGAGTCTTTCGTAGAGGATCTCGCTGTGGTTGCGCAACCCCAGCTAGAGGAAGTAAAGGGAATAAGTCCCAAGATTACAAATACGGCGGAAATAAGTTCCCCGAAACCCGCGGGAATAAGTCCCCGGGAAGACGAAGGAATAAGTCCTTCGAAGCCTGAGGGAATAAGTCCCCAGGAAATGACAGAGACATTGAATGTCATAGTCAATAACGGATCATGTGTAGGCGCTTATACACTTGATCTGATTGCGCCTCCGAAGTTAACTTCGGAGATCACTCAGTTGCCAACGCTCGAACATAAAAGGTTCTTGCGTGATCTGCGTAGTGGCAAAGTCAAGCAGATCTGCATACTCGTCGCTGACGACGAGTATGTAACCGACATAAGGTCAGCAACAGTGTTTACTGAGAACGAGAGAGTTCTCAGTAGTTCATCTATGGACGAGAGTGTCCTAGATGAAAAGACACGAATTGAGCGATATGAGTCCCAATCATGGGAATCGCTCAAGGAAAATCCTCTCTATGAAGATTTGGTTGAATTCAAGGATGTATTCCCTGAAACTGTTCCGTGCGAATTACCGAAGGATAAAGGTATTCGACACGAAGTCGAGCTTAAACCAGGCTCGAAGTACTGTGTCATGAAGCAGTGGCCACTGCCTCGTGAACAAGTACTTGCGATCGACAAGTTCTTTGCCGATCGTTTAGCAGCAGGCCATGTGAGGGGAATCAACTTCCCCACATAGCTCTCCGACCTTCTGTGTGCGAAAAGCAACAGGAGGGTGGCGGATAGTGCACGCGTTCAACAAATTGAACGCTGCAACGGTACCGGCTCAGACGCCGATACCGAGGAAGGACGTAATCATTGATGGTATGTCAAAGAGTACCATCTTTTCGTCCATGGATTTGATGGATGGCTTCTATCAAATCCTAATGCGGGAACAGGATATACCCTATACCGCAGTTAGCACGCCTAGCGGCATGCTCTGGGAATGGCTAGTAATGCCACAAGGGCTCAGTAATGCCCCTGCCACGTTCAACAGGTGTGTATCACATCTGTTGAGGCCAGTACGAGAATTCGCGCCGAGTTATTTCGATGACGTATTCATCCATAGTCGAGCTATGGATGGAAAGTCGGACGTTGAGGTTCACAGGTACCACGTCCGACAAGTTCTTACAATCATGCGAAAGCATCAATTGTATGCAAACCTCAAGAAGTGTATATTTGCAGCAAGCGAAATACCACTTCTTGGGTGCATCGTTGGTAAGAACGGTGTACGTCCTGATCCCGAAAAGATCAAGGCGATCACCGACTGGCCTGTGCCGGTCGATGTCAAAGGTCTTCGAAAATTCCTTGGGCTAGCGGCGTATTTGCATAAGTATTCACGCAATTACGCCGAGATGACTGTACACCTCTCTCGTTTGTTGAAAAAGAACGAGAGGTGGTTATGGAACGCTGAATGTCAACGCTCCTTTGAGGGTATCAAGCAGAGCTTGATACAATCCCCAGTCCTAGCAATAGCCGATCAGGACAGGCCATTTCATGTGGTCTGTGATGCCAGCGATTTCGCAATCGGCTGTGCATTAATGCAGTACGACCTTGAAGGCGTTGAACGCGTCGTCTGCTATCAGTCGCGTCAGCTGCAACCAGCTGAGCGGAACTATCCAGTGCATGACAAGGAACTCCTTGCCATGAAGTATGCACTCGCGAAGTTCAGAGTCTATCTATTAGGAGATAGACCCTTCGTTGTTTACACTGACCATGCGTCCTTACGCACGGCAGTGAACAGCCCGCACCTTTCACAACGAATGGCGCGGTGGTTGTCATTCTTTGCAGAATACAACTTTACGGTCGAGTACAAACCAGGACGACTTAATGTCGTCGCTGATGCACTCTCACGTCGTCCCGACTTTGAAACAGTCGCGAAACCCAACAGTGAGACAGTCACTGTTGCGGTTATGACGTCCTCAGTTCCATCTACAACGTTGTATGATGATGTGAGGCGGGCATACGCCCAAGATGGTGAGATAGTGAAGTTGTTGTCACATCTCTCCCAACCATCTCGAGAATCGTTGAAACGATTGTCGTCTGCGTATCGATCTGCATCAGATCGATACACTACTCGTAACGGTTTACTGTACTATACAGCCGTTTCTGGTGACACACCACGTGTTGTCATTCCAGATGATACTGATCTGCGTTTGCGGATCATGTTCGAGATATCACGATGCTCCTATAGGGAGGACATCGTGGCCGAGAGAAAACATATCTCACGGTAAGTCGAGACTTTTACTGGCCCCGCCAGTATCAGTTTGTGCGAAAGTATGTTCGCGCATGCGGAAGTCTGCCAACGAGTGAAGTCAAGTCCTTCACTGCGTGCACCTTTACAGCCTCTACCGGTTCCGGCTGAGTGCTGGGAATCCATCTCAATGGATTTCGTCTTCAGGTTACCCAAAGACGCACGCGGGAATACAGGTATTCTCGTATTTGTTGACAGATTCAGCAAAATGGTACACCTTGTGGCTGTACCAGAGACAATCACGGCAAGTGGCTGTGCTTGTGTCTTTATTGACACCATCTTCCGACTTCATGGGTTGCCCCGTGAACTCGTATCAGAACAGAGATCCACGATTCACTGCTGATTTCTGGCGTTCCGTGTTCAAATCACTCGGAACGCGCTTGAAGATGTCAACATCTGATCATCCAGAGTCAGATGGTCAGACGGAACGTGCCAATCGTGTCCTTGAAGAGATACTTCGAGGATACGTACACTCCTTTAAGAGTTGGAGTGAGTTTTTTGCCGATGGTAGAGTTTGCCATCAACAACTCGGTGCATGCGTCCACGACACATACACCGTTTTACGTGAATGGCTTGCGCCATCCGCGTGTACCCACCTTACTAGAGTGTAACTCTGGTTTAAGGGGGGAGGGACTCGCGCGAGCAAAAACCGATTTGGTTCACGCTCATCACGCTCTGACGAAGAAGTCATTGCGTTTGATGCCGATATCGATAACATCGATATCGAAGAAGATGATGCCAGTGAGAGTGCGGAAGCCCTCACTGAAGACAATGATCCCAGTGAGAGTGCGGGAAGCCCTCACTGAAGAAAAGGTTGTTGTCGCTGCAGTGCGCTCACAGCACACTGAAGCTAACGAGTCATCAGATGAGTTCATACTGGCTCGTGAAACGGTAGTCCGTTTTGTGCAAGACTCCATCGCCGAAGCGGTGGATAAGCAAAAGCAAAACGCTGACAAGAATGGAAGGGCAAACACTCTTTTATTTAATAAAGGTGACTTAGTCCTACTGTCTACGGTTAATCTACCAAAACATGTAGTGACTAACTTGGGTAGCAGTAAACTACTACCCAAGTACATTGGCCCATTTCGTGTATTGCACCGCCTAGGCAATGCATACACGATCGAGTTACCACGTAAGATGCGAACGCATCCCACGTTTTACGTTGGTCGGCTTAAGCCGTACCATCAGTACGCTGCTTCTTCCGATGAAGAACGCCCTTGCGCTCAAGCATCTCGCAGAGAGCCTTGTGCTCCCGATGGTGGGCATCAACAAGGGTCTGAAGAGCAGTTATCTCAGCCCGAGACCGATCAACAATCCCACGAGCTACCCTTAGCTCGTCACGAAAGATGTCAGAGATCTCTCGTTCTCAAGCTGAGCAAAGGCAAACTCAGCTCGATGCTTCGAGGCAGTGTCCACCATCTGGAGACGCCTATTCCGCTCATGCTCGAGATCGTCGCGTAACCCTTGCGTTACGCGATCAAAAAGCTCTCGGGAACACACCGATCCACATGATCGTGTGGAGAGCGTCTTTCCTCCTCCTCCACCTCCATTAGAGGACTCTCGCGGTGGCCAGCGCTATCTAGTAGAGCAGCTGTTGAACCACCGCGACGTGAACGGACGTCGGACGAGTTACCTCGTCCGGTGGCGCAACTATCCCCCGTCCTGGGATTCTTGGGAGCCCCGCTCCCAATTGATGGTTGACGTACTGGGTCTGGTCGAGCAGTACGACGCGACACATCCTGTGCCGCAGAAGGACCGCCGGAGAAAGTCTTCCCGGCACGGTCGTAAAGGGATTTCAGGTTGTCAATCCCTTCGTACATCTCAGTAGAGACACGTACGCGCCACCACGGGCTGGTAAGGAGGTAAGCCTCCTTAGGTGCTCGTGCAGAGTTGTTCACACAACATGGGCACGAGTCTCCCCAAGAGAGGCAGGGTAATCCTTTCTCCCTTGACAGACGATGCAGCTTATAGCGTGCACCTGTCGGGGTTCGCTTTTCAAACTTATCACGAGCTTTGATAAGTTTGTCGTTCCAAGCGTCACGACCTACATCCTCGAGATTATGGATGTAGGCGTTCCACGCCTGAAGTAGTGAGGGACCATCACGTTTGTGATTCCCACTGTACCATCGATGTCTGAAGAAAGCATCGATGAAGAACTCATGTTCAGCGCGATAGTCTTTCGCGCTGGGGTCAAGGTGATGGATCCTCGACGAATCGAACAATCGTGTTCGATAACGATCACTCGTCGTCGCCGACAAGTGATCCATGACAGATTTAGGAGGCATCCATGCCTTCTTTTCTGGAGCGAGACGCAACACATTGCGGTCCCGCTCTTCCTGCGACGTGCCGACAGAAGTACTGGCACCTCGCTGTGAAGTGGTGTCCATTGGAGAAACGACACCACTATTGGCGCCCGAGTCTCGCGACCTCGAGCGCCTTCGCTTCGGCGATGGTTCATCTGACTCATCAGATGAACCAAAGATGCTGCGACGCAAAGCATCGTCCATGCCACGCTTGGCAGGCGGCTTGGATTCAATTGCCGTCGATACGGATCCGTCATCCGTATCAGGAGAGTACGAGACACCGAGCTCGTACTCTGTGAAGACACGAGTGTCTTCATGACCAGCGCCTGCATCACCAGGTGATACAGGCTGAGTCGATTCAGCAACCGATGGGACATCAGTTGCTGTAGTTTCTGCTTCGGCGTCCGCACAGAGACGTGCAGACGCGCTCTCGGCGGCCTTGCTCGCGCATCGCATGGGCTTGTTTACCATGCGATGAGATGTTGGAAAGTGGACGCGGACCAACAAGTGCAAACCCCGTCCCAAATGATTTGGGACGAGTATCCATCTAGTCAATCAGTCACTAAAGTGACTGATGGTTAAGGGGGAGTGATGTAACGGGGTGAATCGTTACATAACAATTTATAAGAAATTGTTAATAGAATATAACTATAAGAGTTATATTCTCAGAATATTGTCATAAGGACAATATTCTGTAGCACTTCAAGTAGTTCCTAATTGGTTGATATAGGCCATTATATCAACCAACGAAGACGCGCCACGACAGACGCACGCAATGAGTGGTGAGCAGATAACTGATTTACACATTTGTATTTAGACATAGTTAGATGAAGATAAATAGTGATTTATTGCAGACATTAACTATTATAAATACAGTTCTACTTTTTACTCTAACCGAGTACTCGCTTCTTCTTACCGTCTTCCTCTGCACGTACGAGTGTACGTGAAGTTACGAGGCACCGCCTTATTCTGTTATCAGAATAAGTAGCTTGTACTGTCACCAGTACAAGCTTCAGGGTGCCCCGTTACAGTAGAGGTGAAAAGGAGTAAAGATGGCACTACAGAGGTTAAGAGGAAGAAAGTGAGCTTAAGCAAGAGCTGATGGCGCAGATCGAGAAGCTGCGTGTCCGAGATCCCATGGAGATTTTGGATCTTCTCGATCCCATCGAAGAGAATGAGATTTCTCAGCCTGAGCTAACTGAAAACGAGATTCTTATAGAGATTTTGGAGGCAGATGATGATGAGGAAAACAGTGAAGATGCGGCACCTGTCGCAGAAAAAGTTACCATATCCGAAAAGATCAACCTTCTTCGTGATGCCTGCTCCTTGCTCAACGTATCCCAGGGACGTCACCAAGCTGCCTATATAGTCCTTCGCAACCTCCAGCATGATCTTCGAAACACTCTTACCACTTAAACTACCCTTGACATGCGTTCCAAGTAGTTTTTCTCTTCTATAATACGAAAACAAGCGCTCATTTGTAGAGTTATATTGCCCTATTTGATCATCACTTAAAACTTATAACTTAGCGGCCATAGAACGAGGTCCATGGACGCGGAAATCGATAACCTACTAGAGGTTAAAACCTATTGGGGGAAAACTTATGGGACGGAAGACTGCACTTGTTTTTTTAGGCCCCCCCCCTTTCATTCTAAGAAGGCTCGGGCAGAGTTCACTAGCTCAATTGACCAATCAACATGTTCTGTAACGAGTGTTGGCTCGTCCAAAGAAGAAGAGGGTAGATCTAACGAGAAAGAGAGTGAATCTAACCATCCCGTAACTATACTGAAGGGACGCAAGCATAAAAAGTCGCTCGCGCCTCTATTTTTCTACCAACTTGCCTTACTTGACCATTCGATCGATCGATCGAAACAACCCTATTTATAATTAATTTGTGAAGACGAACCCGACTGTTCGCTATCGCATCGTTCTTCAAACGCCTAAGCTCACAGCAAATCCCGTTCGAGTCGATTTGTCGCGCTCGACTCTACTTGACTCCACTATACCCCTCCAAAAAAGCCACGAGCCGTCGTCGTCCACACTGATCCGCCCCGTCATTTTACCTTCGAAAATGGCTGCACGCGAGCTCCTCGCACTCGAAGACGTGGCCGCGATGCCTGCGCCTGGTCTCAGCGCCCCCGCGAACGTGAGCTTCAGTCCCGACAGCCGCCTCATTGCCTTCTTGCACGCCCCTGGCGCGTCCCGCGGCCGTCTCTCTCGTCAATTGTATGCGCTGGACGTGGCCTCTCGCTCGGTCTCTCTCCTGGCCACTGCGCCGAACGACGGCGATACAGAAGGCAACTTGAGTCTCGACGAGAAGCTCCGGCGCGAGCGTCAGCGTCAAATGGGACTTGGCATCACGTCGTACGCGTGGAATCCGTCGCGGCTTTCGCCGGGCCTTTTGTACCCTCTCCAAGGTGATATCTATTTACAAGCTCACGTGGGCGCCCCGCTTCAGTTGCTCTTTGATAAAACCTCGACCGGTGCAATTGGAGGGGCAATTGACCCGCAGTTTTCGCCCGATGGACGCTATGTGGCGTTTGTTCAGGATAAGGAGGTGTACGTCATCTCGACACAAGGAAGTAAGCAGCTACAGGCGATACAAGTGACGACAGGAGCGCGAGGAATCGATGGCAAGTCGAACGGACTGGCTTGTTTCTTAACACAGGAGGAACTGGGTCGCTTTCGAGGCTTTTGGTGGTCACCCGACAGCTCAAAGCTCGCGTTTGAGCAAGTGGACGAGCGCGAGATTCCCAAGTACAGGATTATGCACTCGGGTAGTGCTGCACCAACTGGAGACGATGTGCAGGAAGACCATCGCTACCCTTTTGCAGGCGGTAGCAACCCCAAGAGGAGGTTGGGCGTGATTGACTTGCCACGACTCGCCAAGCAAACAGAGGGGGAAATAGGGTTGCAGAGTGCTGCTGGTCGTGGACTAGTGCAGGACCAGGAGATTCCTGTACCCGTGTGGATGGACTTTGCGTCGTTGGATACAGACCCGGATTTTTACATTTCGAGAGTGAACTGGCTGCCAGACATGTCGCTGGGAGTGCAGAAGTTGAGCCGACTACAGACAGAGGTTTCGTTCTTGAGATTTGATGTGGAAACCGGACAAGCAACGACGCTGATACGGGAAACGAATCCCGTGTGGGTGAATGCTACTTACCTGTATCGCAATGTTGAAGTGGAGAGTGAGAACGCGTTTCGTTTCTTGTGGGCATCTGAACGGAGCGGTTTTATGCACCTTTACTTGTACGAGTACACGGCAGGAGCACAGGGTGCACGGCTCCTCGGCTCTGTGACAAGCGGAAACTGGAATGTAGAATCTGTCGAGGGCATAGACTTGGTAAAGGGATGCGTGTATTTCTGCGGCACGGTGGACTCCCCGCTGGAGCGTCATTTATACGCGACATCCCTTGTTCCGGTCAGTGATCCACCGCCTCATCCCATCAGACTGACCAGTCCAGAAGGCATGCACAACGTCGTCATGGATAGTAATTGTCGCATGTTTGTGGATGTGTACAGCAACCTAACGACACCACCGCGTGCGCTGGTGTGTACTGTGCCTTCAGAGTCCTGTATTCGAGCTGTGAAGCCACTTGAACCCGCAGATCCGAGTTTGGCTGCAGAAGCTGCAGCCGCGCCACCATTGGAATATGCTGCGCTTTTCCAGGAAGTCTATGACTCAGCATACCCCCTGACCACTGAGCAAGAGGATTTACGCGTGGCTATACTTCAAGCCCAGGGCAAACTCTGCGTGCCCAAGATTATATCGGTTCTTACCCGCGATGGCAAGGAAACACTCTACGGGGCAGTATACTTACCGGATCCGAAAGTGCACGGTGAAGGCCCGTACCCTACGATGGTGAGCGTATACGGTGGACCTCATGTGCAACGCGTTGCGCGCACGTGGGCAATGAGTGCCGATATGCGAGCACAGCGATTCCGTGACATGGGATATGTCGTGCTGAAGATCGATAATCGTGGCAGCTTTCGTCGCGGCTCGGCTTTCGAGGGCGCCATCAAACACTGTATGGGTACCGTAGAAATTCTTGATCAAGAGGACGGCGTTCGCAAATTAGTGGACGAAGGTGTGACGATCAAGGGAAGAGTGGGAATTTACGGATGGAGTTATGGTGGCTACATGGCGGTCCTCAGTCTGATGAAAGCTCCTGAGACGTTTAGTCTTGCCATTGCCGGGGCCCCGGTGACGAGCTGGGACGGCTATGATACTTGCTATACAGAGCGCTACATGTCAACACCCCAGCTCAATCCGACGGGCTATCGAAACGGCTCGGTTTTGGAGGCTGTTGGGAATATGCGGAAGGGGCAGAAGTTACTGCTCATCCATGGGCTGATTGATGAAAATGTGCATTTTCGCCACACAGCTCGACTCATAACAGCTCTGATCAATGCTCGGAAGCACTATGATTTGCTACTCTTTCCTGGTGAACGCCACTCACCACGTCACCTAGAAGACCGAATTTACATGGAGCAGCGCATCGCTGAGTACGTTCAAAACAATGTGTGATCGAAATATCAGGCGTTGGTTCAGACGAGCACAAACGCAAGATCTATTTTACTCATGAACCGAATAGCGGGATGCGTGGTGTTGAATGAGACGCACGGATGAGTATTCTTTACACGGTGTTCACCATTCGCCATGACTGCGTGTGCATGTACTCGCCGTTCAGGATTGTTCCAGTGAGGCTTGGATTGCTCGTTGAAGCTCGTCCATCTCATCCGTGTTTGTTGTTTCATCATCATGCAGTCCAAACACCTGCGGTCGGTAAGCATACTCCCGGCCTGACAGCTCCATAGCACGACGCAACTGCTCATCGTAATTACCGTTTCCTTCTGTCGCCGCAACGCATGCTCCCGCGCCACCTAGAGACACTCGGATTGCAGCTGACATTTGTGCATCAAAGTCGCCTTCACTAGCCAATGCACCTGCACCTAACGACGCTTGAATCGCAGCCTTCACCTGCTCTTCCTCCGACTCAGCCTTTGCTTTTGCCAACAGCTCAGCCTGGATTGCAACTACTTCACTTTCTCGTGTAGCTTCTTTGATCGCTTCTGACTCTCGGTGTGCCTGTGTTTGTGCTGGCGAAGCCTCACCGCCGTGCTCTGAAAGCGACAGCTTCAGTGTCTCCTCTAAGCTGGTGTCTATCGCGTCAAACTCATTCCGTGATAGCTGTGTATTCAAGTCAGGTCAGTTCATGAACCAGCCCATCGCACGACATGCATCAAAACGAACGCACCATGAGAATATGCTCCAACTGCTCCACTTCTGTGCACTCACGGTCAGATTGGGCATGCACCTGTAGTTGTACGCCGGTGGCATCATCTCGTGTATCACGTGAATTGATACGGCGCGAGTACCCGATATGCCGCTGCTCCCACTGGCCTGGGACCTCGCAGATTAGATTCGCTTGATGATCGGGTCCAGTAAGTGAATCGTAGTGACCTCCTCCGTAGTAGCTAAGCCTGCATCAACGGAGCATTCACGCATAAGAGCTGTAACGATAACATGCATCCATTCGTTGCCAAATGACGCACCGAATAGGAGGTCTACTGCGACAGAGAGAACTGTTTTCGTGAAGGCAGCGCAGCTTTCGAAATCCCAGCAGTGGATCGTAAGCAAAAACTTCAGCAGGACGGTCGTACAGTTCGCACAAAGCCTGCAGCTCCGGATCGTCGCCCCAGACACCATCACGCCTCTTATGGTGCAAGTAGCGCATGAACGCTGCCATGTCGCCTACCACGTACGGCTCAAAGTACTCTTTCTCGCTTTCCATGTAGTCCATGCAAGCCGCACGTACCAGAGCATGATGACGATCTTCGCCATATATTTGGTGACTCACCGAGCGGAACAGACAATTGCCATCTCCTTCGATATCATAAATGTGCAGGCCCAAGGTACGCTGCAGCGAATCTCGGTAGTGTGTAAATCTCGGGTTCTGCGCTTGAATAACGCGACGATGTGTCACGTTTGGTGCGTGCACGGCCATTTTTCTCTGTTTCAGCGCACTACTACGTCCGCGGGATTGCAGATGGTCGCCAGCAGGTGCCACCGTTGCCGGGGTGAAGCGAATCCACTCGTCAAAATTCTGGTCGCGTCCAGCATAGCGCACCAACATTTTCCCTCCAAGTGTTCGCACTGCAAAAGCTTCCTTCCACAGACTACTATTCTCCCCACCAGGACGTACTTCCACCTGCTGGGCTTGTCGAACCGGCACGCTGTCACTTCGTGCCTATAAGTTTGGTTTCACGACACGAAACACTGCCATCAAAAAGGACTCTATCGAGACGCCACTTCTTTACAGCATCAAACCTTTCTTCCGAGCTGTGCGAGGCGGCCGGAATCCAGCTGAAGCCACTGTCGCCAAGTCTCGTGCATGTTGAAAAACTGCAGCAGCACTTCTCCATCGACGACTTGCAGCACTCTGGCTGGACACCAATTGCCAAAGACGTTCTGAGCGTCCACTTGATCACCTGCGCGGATGTGACGTCTCCACCCGTAGTCCAAGGCGTCGACGCGCATCATTTCTGTCCGTTGGCAATCAAAATGAATCAGTTGGTCCTCTTTTCGTTCATGGCTGCAAAATGGAGCCAATCGATCGCCCATTGTTGCACGAACCGTCATCGAGATCCGAGTCTTCACTTGCTGTGCGGCGTCTTCCGTCCATTGGGTCGTCCGGACGTTCAGTTGGAGACGCGATGGCTCGCTCGCACACCATGTCACAGATACCGGTCACTTTTTCTTTTTCTTTTTCTCGAAGCTGGACCGTTATTATCATTGAAGAAGTCGCAGCAAGTGGTTTTTGTCGCTTACGTTGCGTCTTGAGCGCAACATAAAGAGTCGCAAATCATTTGATCGATTACAGTGCGCTATCGTTGTATTAGAGCAATCATCCGGTTTTGTATTACCGTAACCGCCACTCGAAGGATAGCGTCATCGCCCCGGTTAGATGTGTCAGCCATAAGGTGACACATCCTAGAAACACGACAAGCTGAGACGATTCCACGCGAGTGCTATTTGTAATAGAGCGATGTACAGTGCTAAACTTGTCAGGCACAAAGCGAGCGCTGCCACGAGGCGAAATGGAGCAGCCGTTCTCTGGATATGAGGCCAAGCCCTCTCGTCGAGAAGAGGTTCGAGGGTGTAAAGGTGGTCGTCATCCAGAGCTGCATTGACATGTTCTTGTAGCTGCTCATACATACCTCGAGCACAAGCGAATGTGGAGACTTCGTTGCTGTAATGCGTTAGGAGACCTGCAAGCAGTCCGAATCACTGAGGTCAACTTGGACCAGCCTTTTACTCGCAACATCGAGAAACAGAAGTAAGTTCAAGATGGCAACGAGCCGCGAAGCACACGAGTCTCAACACTCGACTGCCTGCTAACGCCATTCACATGTGTTTCAAACTGGTTGCGTATTACGCTGCGCATTTACTGCGGCTTGCTTCTTTCCATGCTACAAGCGGGAATGAGATCGCTGAGGTACCACGTAAATTCGCGTCTGGCTGGACCAAGGGCGGCGATAATCACTTCTCGGCAGCCTCATCACGATCTAGCACCGGCCTCCGAGCTAAAAGGCTGCCACGCGTTCCCTTCCTTTATTCCTCCATCTTAGCATCTCCATCCTCGTCCTCCTTGATATCAGACACTTCCACAGCATCAATCTGTCGAGCAACAACGATATCTAACCTGTCAGCGACATCGTCACGAGAGGAAAATTATAAACCAGTCACTTACGTAGGGCTGTAGCTCAGCGCCTTCAATAATCTGGAAAGGCTGGTCAATCCCCACAACAGCAATCGTAACGTTGCTCGCTGTCAGCTCCTGGTCTCCTTGAAGACAGCCGCGCACACCCTGCAGTGCATGGTGGATGATCTCGTCCTTGTCCACTGACACCACAACCAAACAGTATCACAGCGTCACAATCTCCTCCTCTCCTTCTCCCCATAACCTACTGCACTTACAATCAGGAAAGCTCTCAAAGTGCTTTTCCAAGTATGTGCGCGCCGACTGCGATCGTGCACCAATGGCAATGCCCTTGTACTCATAGTAATTGCCCGACGGACACGTCTGATACAAGTGCACTCCTTTTTTCTACAACAGGACCACAACCACACACACAAAAGAGAGCGTAAACACCTCCCTCTCTCTCTGCATCTCTCTATCGACGCCCACGTACGTCTACACCCGCCACCAGCAGTCCCACGCCGTACGGACGGCGAATGTACGACTGCGTGCACTCCTGTTTCTTGTCCGCCACGTCCGAGACCAGGCGTCCCACAGTAATCGCACTGCCGTAGACGAACTTGTGGTTGAGGCTTTCCGTGCGCATAAAACGCGCCAGTGTGCGCGCATCGGCTGTGAGGCCCGAGATGGCGATGCCCATGTGGTCGTCGATCTTAAAGACCTTATTCTGGTGCTCGGCCAGTTCAAGAGTCTGGCGCTTGATGCCGCAGAGCACTGCCACCTTGTTGGACGTCAAGCCGAGACACACGCTGCCTTGCTTCACAGCCTCCATGGCGTAGTCGATCTGGTGCAGATGCCCCTGCGGACTCCACACGGTCACGTCCGTGTCGTACTGATTGCGAAACATCTTCGTCTGGACGTCAAGAGCTTTTGAGTCGAGGTGGAATCCTAGACAAAGAGGGGGTCGGTCTCTCTCTCAGTCGGAGAGGGTGGAGGTCACTCTTTAAGAAGAGTGACATCAACGACCAGACCCTGAGCTGGGCGGGTGGGCGTCATTCAACGAAATGAGTGACACCCATGCCTTCTACTCCTATTTTTAGCCTTCTACTCCTATTTTTAGCCTTCTACTCCTATTTTTCGCCTTTGTACTCCTATTTTTCGCCTTCCCACTCCAATTTTTCCGAGGTAGTTCTCATTTTATTGACGGAAACGAGCCAATGACTCGCGTACGGACAGTTTTTCCATGACGATACTGATTAAACGCGTTTGGCAGTTGTTGCTGGTGGCGGCTGAAGTGAATGTTGTGTGACTAGTACCTGGGGCAGCGTGCAGCACAGCAACTCGATGCGCAACTCATGAGCAGCACGCATGGCTTCTCTATCGACCAGTTGATGGAGTTGGCAGGACTGAGTGTCGCTGCAGCGATCGGGAAGCAGTTTCCCATCACTGCAGCCTCATTGAATACAGAAGAAGCAGTCGATAGAGTATTGGTTGTCGTGGGCGCTGGAAACAACGGGTGCGTCTGGAGAGAGATCCGAGACGTTTCGTGCTTCTTAACTGCCAATAACGAAGTAAATGGACTTGGCGACTGCTGTTATGTACTGTGTGCGGCACAACCATCTCGATGCCAGAGGCGACGCGCTGGTCGCAGCTCGTCACCTAGTGGTACAGTGCGTTGTAAATGTCTGTTTTAACAGAGGTTTGGTCGACGACGTTTGTAGCAAAACATGCTGATTAATGTACTGTGTTGAAATGGCTGCAGCATTTCGGCTACTCGCCGAGCATTTTGTACCCAAAATACAACGCAAAGCCTCTTTTTCAGGTGAGGGTGGTGATCGCGACTAAAGTGTGGAGGTACAAAGCTGAGCTAAGTGTCGTTGGTATTGCTATAGGGACTGGTGGCTCAGTGCAAGCAGCTGGAGATTCCGTTCGTTGAGCACATCCAGGACTCGTACGGGCAAGCGGTGTTTGCTCATTCATCCATGCTATCTCGATAATCGAACACTATGTTGGGTGCCATTGTTGCAGATCGGCAGTGGATGCAGCGTATGACTTGATTTTGGACGGCATCTTTGGCTTTGGTTTTACCGGGAGCATCCGTCCTCCGTTTGACCGCGTTGTCCAGACGCTTCGAGACTGCCGAACACCGATCGTCTCGATCGACATTCCGTCCGGGTGGCATGTCGAGAATGGTATGCTCTGTTTGTGAGGTCTTCTGCTTGCCGGTTGTAAATGGCACGTGTCTGCGTTGACAGGAAACGAAGACGGAGTCGGTCTGGAGCCACAGATGCTCGTATCCCTGACAGCACCGAAGCCCTGCGCTAAATACTTTGAGGGACCTGGCAAGACACACTACGTCGGCGGACGATTCGTGCCAAAGTACGTGCATCGTGTTATAGCGTTTCGTGTCACTGTCTCCGCAGATACTGATAGTGCATCTTGTGCAGGTCACTGGCAAAAGAGTTCAATTTGGAGCTGCCAATTTATCCCGGTGTGGAACCGTGTGTGAAGTTGCCGATACCGTATTGACAACGCATCCATCAGATGACATCAGGTCGCGACACAAAGTTTAATGGGTCTTCTTGTTTGCTTTGGGTACGATGAAATCATCAGACTCCTGATAGGAGCAACAATAGTGCAACATGTCAGGGCCCGTGCGAGAGCAAGCAACTATATTCGAAGAGGCGTGACACTGACTTAAATAAGAGGAGGTTGTCAATTACTGAGGTGCAAAGCGACTATGATGTCATTGTTGAAAAGCTGTGGCTTTGTTGATCACCGATTCTCAGTCGTCGTGTTGTGCTCGTCTTGTACTTCCCAACCGTTATCGGGTGTACTCTGCTATGCTCATTTACCAGGTTCTTTGTGCGTTCATTTGCATTTTGTTCGTTGGAGGTCGTGAGCGTGTCTACCACACTAGCAGCTCCAGCTGCCTATCGTTTACGAAGTTTAGTTTGGGGATAGGAGTCACTTGGCATCACTTTGGAGCTACTAACTGTAGCAGGTGGTGGAATGGGGTGCTGGACGGCCACTCGTGTGTCTCCAATTGTCTCCAATCGTCGTCAGACTCAGTGCATTGTTGTCTTGCATCCGCATAAGATCCGGCATGATCATGCAATCTTTTTACTGGTATTACACGTACCATTGCACCCTTAATATTGAAAGTTATCGAAACGAAACAACCAGAGCCCGAACATTTCACCGCAGAAAGAGAGCGCGTTGTTTAATTCCTATGATCTCCATGCAGTAACAAATCAAAGCGGCAAAATAAAACCGTGGACAGATACGCGAACTCCTTGCAAGCATACACACTAGAATAGCTTCACCTTCTATTGGGCACATACTCCTCCGCAATACACATCTCGACTATACTGAAAATTACTTTCATCTCTAATCAGGAACTACACAAATGGTCAAACGCTCCATGGTACAACTTGACTACAAAATCTGCAAAAGTTACGTTACATGAACGCACAAGAATGCAATCACTATGACGAACACCTTCGTTCGGCAAGCTGCTCGACGCGGAGGTAGCGGATCTGGCTGATTTTGATATCGCCGCAACGGATTGCAAAATTCAAATTCTGGAAGTGAAGTGATACTATCGTAGGATGAGCGTTGTGAAGACTTTCCAAACGAAATTCGGTTAGACATCTCGTCAAGTTTATCATGCATGCATTGGAAAAAAAATGAAGCTGACAGAATGCGTCCAATTTAAGGAAGCCTAAAAATTGGACTTGACTTTCACGCAGATGATACGCCTTGATGACACCCTATTCTGAAGTCCAAAGAATCTCTTTGTGTCGAGTAAACAAACGGAGACAGATAGCCGCGTGATCCACTCGGCCGTCCACGTCTAATTTGGGTACTTGAGGTCCTAGATGTGGTCATGCGGCCACTCATGAGAGAAGATTCGGCTACTTCAACAGAATGCGCAGTTGGTGGGGGTCGATTGTGGCGCGCATTGATGTGCGGAAGAGTATCGTCAAATTTTGTCTTTTTTGTTGGTGGAGGATTTTTACTTGTAGTCACGTGGATCCAAGCTTTCATAGTCGATTTTTTATTTTATCTTTCCCTTAATGGTCATCACATCTCGATCGCGCACCCTCGGCCATAAATATACGGCCACCCATATTTGTACATATAACTCTGTGATTACAACGAATTGCGCTACTATTCAAGTATGTTATACTTATTATTGCGCACCCCTCACGTGTTGATTTCCCATCGTCCTCTCTGGTGGCATAGCTCTAATACAACAAACCAAGTTTGACACTCGGTCAAAAGTATACGACCAGGGACGACCATACCGATTGCCATTATGCAATGATTTTTAAGAATGTTGCTCGGACTAGTAGTGCATCTTAGTTCCTCGCATCTTGAGGACATCGATGCTACGGCGTGGAATATAGTCGGTCAGGTTCGCCAGCGTTAGTATATGTCAATTATTCCATGCGTCGATAACTGCCGAGGTCGGAGTTGAAACAGAAGATACTTTTTTCCGTTCTGTTATACCTCCCTACTAATTACAGCTCACACGTTTTTGATGGGGTTTTAGTCCGGAGAACGATCCGGAGAGTCTAAAGTGTCCACGCCCCACCCAGCGAATAAGCTTATTGTGAGTGAAGATGAATTGGTGGATGTGTTGTCCTGGTGGAAAATAAAATCGATACCCTTTTTGCGGTTTGTTAATAGAAGGAAAAACTTCAATAAGTGCAGATTTAGCTCTCTGAATTCTGATTCCCCGCCGCAATGTCGAGATCAGTATTTTCGACTCCGCTTAACCCACCATGAAGTAACGAACCACCAGTCCACTTTAAGGAGGTCCGTCTACCTGATCCACACATGTCTCGCCACTTGTGATGTACACCATCAGTTCCCTCCAAATTTAAATATTTTGTCCGAAAAATCATACTTGTCCTTGCATTGGGATGTACCAACAACTTCCTCGACCATTCAAGGCGACAGAATATATGGTTTGTCTTCAGCTGAAGTGTTTTATATATGGTAGTGTACGACATCCAGTCAACATATAAAAGAACGAACCGAAGAGTACGCTCCAAGAACTGCAGCTCGAGCTGCTGGTGCAACTGTGATTCTGATTAATCTTCTCTCGCTTCCATGCGAACAAAAATAAGTATTGCACCATCAGGTAAAACTGGTGGCCTTTCTGTGGATTGTCAACATTTGCGGCTGTTCATAACACGATTAAATGCGGCAAGTGAACCATTAAAAGAGCGTGCAATGATGCGCATTGTAACACTGGCCTCATGTACCCCCTTGATTCTCTCACGCTTTTCGTCCAAGAGCGCTTTATCCCTACCCATCACTTCACCAATGCCGCAGCTATTATCACATACTAGCAATCGGTATGTTCTTTCCTGGCCGTATACTCTTGCCGGATGCCAAATTGGTTTGTTGTGTACGAGCTTTGCCACCAAAGAGGATGATGAGGACGTTTAAACATGAGGGGCAAGTATAAAAGCTTTGCGCAAAACATGCTCAAATAGCAGCGCCCTATTCGTTGTAATTAGAAATTAGTTGGTTAAGAAATTTGGGTGGCCGTGTATTTATGACCTGAAATGTACTCGGCTAATCAAAGTCCAATGTTACACAAGAATATTATTGTGACTAGTGACTCCACGGAAATTGTTTGCTTGCTTTATTTAAGTATGGATCGATTACGCCTGCCATGACGCTTTTTGTGACAAAATGCATCGTCACGTTTTCTTTAAAAAGACCAAACGATTAGCGCGTATAAAAAGCTGAAGAGTGTCATTAGTGAGAAAATGCACAGGAGCACATACAGCACTATTACCGTTTCTTTGCATGCGCTAGCACCCTGATAGAGGATTATTATATCATTTGCGCCTATGGAACAAGACACTGGTTAATTGTACTGACACAGTACATCTTAACTTACTGTGATCCTAGGTGAGTGGTACTGCAATTTACTTTACGTACGTGGTACGTGCAGGAGGAGACTAACTATCAAACGCTTGTCTAATAGAGGCAGATGATAAATTGGTTTTGAGTCTAATTGAGTCCTAATCATTAACCTGTTTTTAGTCCTAACTTTACTGTATTAAATAAAAGGTGTATTGAAGTCTTTCAAGACCCCTCATTGCATGCGTCCATAACCAACTGGGCCGCTATAGTTTCCTGATATAATGTTTCATTTCAGACAATACGTGAGGGCTTCTGGATATATCTCTACATTGTAATATTCATGAACAAATCGACCTTTTACGATGATAATTCTCTAGTGAACAAGTATAATACATTAAATTAAATGTAACACGCTCATCCCGTTACGTCACGAATCCGTCAATGATGCACAAGTGAGAAACGTCCGCGCCAAAAATCTTAATGTCATATGTATCAGTACTGTGCACTATCCAATACGCGTGCAAGACCATCAATAAAGACCCATCAGTCATCAACGACTCCAATTTTGAGCTCTCAACACTAATATACAAGTCCGTTCACATAACAAATTTCTCATCCTTATCCTTACAGGCTATTTTTTCGATCACATCGTGAGCATCTAGCGCAACACCCAGCTATGGTAAATCTCAAAGTATGTTCGAAATCGTCCTTTTCGCAAAAGACGTATTTTTTATGTACTTGGTGCCCTACGGTCCGCCGTATCACAATCTTTCGCAATTACCTTTCATCTTTCCGCTAAATCACCTTAAAATCTCTAATGTTTGCATTTTTTGCACGATTTTTCTTTGGGTGTACCGCTATATACCTTGTACCCTTCTGTTCGAATCTAACTCTTTTATTTCAAGTTATATATTACCCAAATATTAGAAAAGCGCTGACACATTTCGCCTTTTAGAGTAATCTGTGCCGATAGAACATTCATCTGTCTACCAATTCCCGCTGTATCATTGGCATTTTGCAAAAATTGAACTTGATTGGTATCGTACAGACTGGGGAGATTCGAAATGCGCACAAAAAACAGAAGGTTCATTCAATAATTGCAACGGACAGTAAGCTCTGCTGTAACTAACTACACAATTTTTAGCCTTTTTCTATAGACAAAATACCGCTCACGACAAATCGTATTTGCTTCAAATAAATCTCTGCAAAATCTTTGACGAAAAATGAGCAAACGAAATTTGCATTTATGACATTGAAGTTCGCTATTATTCTTTCTGGTCGATTTAAGAATCTGTCGCGGGGATCTAGATGTCCCTTCAGGTAAAGCACATTCAATATCAATCGTGTCAGTTAGTCGTTTTTTGTCTTCTCCAATAGTGCCGGATCTTTGTCTGCTTACCATAAACAGTATAAGCAGTCGATTCAAGAGTTACTATAAGCTAGAACATTTATACAGGCTACGTGGCCTTACTAAATGAAATGTCCACTATGCAAGTGATGTAGTCTCCGGACAACCTGATGAGACATCAAATGCAAACACTGATGATATTATCCCACTTGGTAAGATCTGACATTAGCAAGTACCTTCTTTCTGCAACCGTATGTAGGTTCGTGCATGTTGAAAAACATGTTTTACTCAACAAATACAAAAGCGCGTCGTTCATCGCAGCAACTACGCGATGCAGTACTATATGGTAAGCATCCATTGGCTAAAACCGTCCACTGATATCATATTTTCAACTGAAATTATGCACGATCCATCAATAGCAATGTTTACTATATTATTTTTATCGTCACCCACTCTGCTTTACTCTTGCGGGCCCTCACGCTTTGGAACTTCCACTGCGCGCCAAGTTCTCCCCATGACCTGAAGCTCTTTCCAGACGCCCCACGTGCTTTAAATCGTGAACGATAGGAGAGTCTAAGCCGTTTAAGCCTAGCTGTGCCTTGCACTTTGGAGTTGACGTCACGACCAAGGATGCCAACGGCAGCGCAACCTGCTGGTGCTTGTACTGCGTACATGAGGGCTCCGACGAGGTCGAGATCGTCCAGAAAGGTCATAAGCGCAAGCGGGCAGGCAACAACAAGATGTTCACCGCGCCGTTTCCCCCTCGCACATGCTGGAGGCATCTGTCACCACAGCACACTGAGTCATAAGTGCTCTACCGGTAGATGTCCAAGGCCGAAAAATAACGATACTCTACGAGAAATATCAAGCCTATACATCATATCGCCACATGACTAAAGAATGACACATTGACCTACGAAATAAGCGCCTGCATCGTCAACACAATTCTTGACCACCTGTTCCTCTGTGGCGAAGAGTTGCTTGTAGCAGTTCTGACAGTGAAAACGACAATGGTGACGACGTGGAAAACGCAATCGACAACAAGTCCTATAAGCAGGCCAATGAGAAGACCGAACGCCTTAAAGCTGTTCGTCAAGAATGAGAACGAACTTGATTAGTACCAGATCCTTATCAAGAACGTCATCCGTTTCGAGCTTGCAATGGACCACTTGTCCGATCGCCATGTTGTTCAGGCAGACATCGCCCGCCATCTAGCACGCCAGGGACCATACCAAGATAAACAAACAAACCGATTGTCATGAACGACATGATCGTTGGCCAGTACGTCCGCTTCTTGGTCGGCGCCTCCGTAGGATATCTTGGACATGATAGGTGACGTGTCCGTGCGGTCCTCCTCTCTTGCGTTCGACGCAAGCACCCACCGCGAGCAGTCGTTAGTCGATCTTCGCGTGCGGATCTACTACAAGGAATTGCTCTGCATCAACCATATGTTCGGTCTCCCAATGTTTGACCGCCACAAGGTGTAGATTATCTACAACATTCTCATCAATTTTATTGACGCGCTCTACCTAGACTGGCGTGTCAAGCTGCTAAACGCGTCGTCAGAAGGCAAGAACACGAGCTGGGCGCCACGCTGGTGTATCTCTATTATTGCGCGTTGCGCCAAGTTCAATGTACTTTGTGTGTGGTGTGCACCGCATCGGATCGACATATTTGTCAAGTCGGCGGCTGAAAGCATCAACGGCGGCACCTACATCAAGAAGGTATACTCGTTTTCTATCCATCTGCGGTCACAGAACAACTTGATCATTAAGATGTCCGTCACTTGTCCAAAGAAGACATAGCGCCGGATGCACTTGGGTCGCGTTTTCAACTTCTTTAAGCAGTTTCGCCGGCCGATCATCGCGCACACCGAGTAGAATCATCCAGAAAACCTGTTAGCAGCCGAGTGGTGGATCATAACATACTAGGTGACGCCCGCTATTGAGGAGGTCAACATCATGTTCGCCAAGCTGCAGCGCTCGTCGCTCCTGGTCGTGCAGCATCTGGAGTTCATCAATGCGTTAATCAGCACTCTTAACACCATGATTTGCATCGATCCGTCGATACAAAAAATAGAAACGAAGATTACGAGGCCGAGTACGTGTCGGTCGACTTCGATTAGCATCGAAGTCGCGGGTAGAGAAAGTAACAAACGCAACAAATGGTCGGCTGCTGGCGAGTACTTTGATCGTCTCAAGACTGGCGACCACATTTTTGTCATCAAGGAGATTGCGGTGTGCGACATCATGCAAGTCGAAGGCCTCATGGGCGTCAAGGACGTGCCTGACCAGAACAACCTGCTGCTAGACCACAATGCGCCACCTGTCATGCCTCAGTAGCTGGTTTGGCTGCGTCCGTACAAGTTCATTTAGGACGTGCCCAACGCGGTCTCGACCGCCTCGACAAGTTCTGGACGCCTGAGCAAGTTGAGGAGGTCAATGCGAACCATCAAGACCTAATCCAATCAAGATTTAATGCAACGACGGCGCCATGTGGAAAGCAATCGACAAGCACGACGTAAACACGCTGCTCTATGACGCCTGGGACTGTGTGCCCCGTTTCAAACGAACTTCGCGCATTCTGTCGCGGCTTCGTGACCATCTTCCCGAACACGACATCGGTCGAAAGTGATTTCCGATCCTGCAGTGGGAGCTGAATGATAGTATTACGCATTTATGCACTTGTAACTGGAAGGAATCTTTTAAGGCCAAGCAGCGCGCCATCCTGAAACAGGTATGGGTCTTATAAGTTGGCACATCACAAATACATTCGGCCGTTACACGGACTGTTCTGCAGTCAGAGACGTTATATGGACCAATCCCCAAATAACTGGCAGAGGCGTCCACAAAATTGCTCAATTTGTATACTTTGTAAATACCTACAAAGTAACGAGGCCTGGTCTTGCGGCCTGTAACATTTTGCTGGCTAAATTAGATGTCGTGTAGCTGAAGTTCACGGTCTTCACCTTTTCCCCGACAGTCTACTTTAAGTGTTACACCTAATAAACAGATAAATGAACTTAAAGCATATCCTGTGATATCTAAATTCGCTTTTTGAGAAATTGGCAATAATTTTTATCATTTTTTTTCTTTTTGTATGTCTGTAATGAACTATCAAACGTTTTTTTGGAATTGAATTAGCGTATGGAGTGCGTGCTTGCGTTGATGCAGATCTAAAACGTGAAGACGTGAATCGCGCCATTCAGTTATGTCCAAATTGACATCTGATTGGTCTATTTAATACGAAATGATAGAATCATGTGACTGTATTCTATACTGACAGATCAGTCCTATCTAAGGGGGTTAAAATTAAGACTAATGCGATACAGTCTACGACAAGACAGGAATCATTCGACTGTAAAGATGATAGCAATACGAACTAAAGTTCTTTTAGATTCGTTTCTAACAGACCAATTATAGTAGTGTTTAAGTGTTGTCTGCGAAATTTACTGTGGAACATGAACCAGTCGAGCATCTTCTAGACATTTTAATTAGATGTGCAGTTACGATGGTGAATGTCTGCAAGTGCGTACATGGATACGCATATATCAATTGCGATCAAACACATGCGTATTGGTGTGGAACACATAGTTGGTGCGGCTCCCATTTTCACAGTGGACCACACAGTGATCCGCTATCCAGTGAGTTGAGTAATAATCTACGATTTTAGACGTAGACATCACAATATAATTCGCGATTCAAATCTTCATTACTCGGACGAAACGTGGTATTATATTCTTCAGCTGTTAAATATACAAATAATTAAGGTATTTGTCACTTCGAGAAACACGCGCCATATGTTCCGGACAGAATTATTTGCTTCTATAAAATCGACTAAACACTCGTACGCAATTTTTTCTTTGGATTGTCTGGCCAGAAAGACAACTCTCTAGTCACCACCGAAATTAATGAACCGCATACATTCATTAATACAAGTTTTGGAGACGGCTGACGTGGTCAGAAGACGAAAGGGCTTATTACCAGCATTATTGGACAAGACGATCTCAAGGCAGATCATGGTGACTTGGAAACAGTACACACGCAACTGTGAACAATTGCAATCGTGTGAATGTTTCTGAGTGGTTGACCCCCGCCTATCCCTAAGTCAATCGAGTTACCACAATGCTCTATTTCATCAATACTAGTGCAACTTTTCCTGAAGAAAAGTACAAGAAGGTGATGCAGAAACTACACACAAAATTGAATTACCACCTCTGATATTCTGTCATCTGAGCATTAGCGAAGGACTGGGATCACATCATCATTGAGTGAAGACCACTGAACCACAGACTTATGTTCTAAAACATCAAGGACACCGATTCGGGACGTGTGTCACGATCGAGGATGCCTCTTATTAGTACTGCTATGTTTGGACTCAAATTATACAAATTCAGGACTTTTGATAGGCTATAACAAGCAGGCTGCCCCACTTCGGTTTGTGCAGGGTTTCGGTTGTCATAAATCGAGGACCTCATCTTCCCCATACGCGTAACAATTATACCATAAAATGTGGGATTTTCTGAGCACTTAATCCTTCTAATAAACTCATTTTACTGGACAAAATGGATCGCGGCACTTTCGAAATGCTACGAACAGCACAAAAGCATTCAAATCAAAATTTGCGTACAAATCTCTATCTCCTGTGCAACCTTCATCCTCATGATCTGATTAAAATGCTAAATAGAAATAATTTTACTAAGCCTCAGGAAGAAGTCATTTGCTTGCTTCAAGAGGTCCAGAGGGGTGCCAACGAACAGCTATTCATAAGGACAAGTTTTGACGAAATGTAGTACAGTTGATGCAACGGGGCGTTCGTCGCACGATACTCAGTTGAGGGAAATCGAGAAGAAAGCGTTACGCTAACAAAACACTCTTTTTAGAATGCATAGTGTCGGGTGATGTGTTATGCAGTTGGTAGTGCTATGTTTATTGGTTGATGTAAGCGATTGATCGATCAATAATGCTAGGCAGCCATAGCAGACGTACGCAATGAGTGCTGAGTAGATCATTAAAATCCGTGTTTGTATTTAGATAGGGTGAAGGAAGATAAAATTAGAATTAGGACAGAGAATTTATTATATATTATAAGGTTCTGTTTTCTATTTACTGTTTACCAATACAGTACTCCAAATGTAGAAATGTTCCACAAGTTCTTAAAATCCGTTGCCTATTAAAATTTGATGCTTACCGTGGTGGTTACACGGTCGAAATTTAAAGCTTATAATTAATAGCCGCAAAGCAAGATAATAGTGTAAAAGGGGAGCATTCATTACCAAATATGGCATCGAGGTGGTTTGTGTGACGTTAGCACCTTGAATGTCAGTACATCGGCTGCGGAGTTTCATGTAGGCAGATAGGTGGATTTTCGGGCATACAAATAAAAATTCAGGTAATACGTAAGATGACGATTCCGTCGGAAGTGGTAATATGCATGTAACCTTCAGCTCCTGCTCTGCTTTCAGAATTTTTTCAATCGTTGAGCTGTAGATAAGAGCTCTTGGTCTTTTGCCAGGTTGAAAATCCCCTTAAATTAAATATTTGGAATTGCATATCGGCGGCTTATCAATATCGGTTTTAGGACCTGCTCTAGAGCTATCTCCTCATCCTCAGCCTCCAGCTAGCTCTCTTTGTTCTCCTTTTATCTCTTGGCGTGGAAACAGTTGCATTGTTTGCAAAAAATTTGTGGGGCTGAAGCAGATCGTGATCATGATGTTCTAATATCTATCCGGGCAGAATTCGATTTGCGCATGCCTGTGGGATCGCTAGCTTTGTAAATGTTGCCGATCTCGCCACCATAGTTGCAAATCAGAGCGTGCTAAAGACGGTAGCGCTGGCAACACCTCTTAAAGCGGAAATTAGCCAGTATTATTGCTTGTTCTTTCGAGTTTGCGTTGGGCGGAAGGGGTAGCACCTTGACTTTAGTAAGCTACAGATTTTCCACAATCTTAAATGGAGTATTCCTTGATGAAGAAGAGAAGATTACTGCCTAGGAAATAATAGACTTGTCGTATCTTCACATGATCAGTAGGTCAATACCTTGGCGAAAAATGTGCACGCGCACCTTCATAGCTTCGCCAACATCAATAATCTGATAATAAAATCACTGTAGACCATCAATGCTTTCACGTGCACTTGTAAAGAATATTCAGCTTCCTTTTCTGCCATCATACTCAAAAACATGGTTGCTTTTGGTTTGTTCAATGTAATGGATGGAGCTTGTCGCACTTGTCAACATTTGCGGTGAAAGCCACGCTGATACGTAAATTTATAACAGGTTTCAGCATATTTTTCTTTGTTTTAATGGGAACACGAATAGAAACCAATAAACCTTGTCCTTTAATTGTTCCTCGACCTCTGTCCAGGCATTTTTCCGATCCCATGTTATGAGACACAACAAAACCTGTGAAATCCAGATCGACTAAGCTATTTAATAATATACAAAGGCAAAACCAAACTTACTAGTCTCATCCATGAGTGCGCATTACAGAAGAAATAAAAGGCGATAACTTTCTTTAGCCCAGGCAGAGCCTCGTTTAAAGCCTCCACATAAACTGAAACCTTTAGCCGTAGATGCAAACAGCACGGTATTTGTGAAGCAGTGGGAAGTTTTAAAACCATCGATGAGAGACCTCGGTACCGTGATTCTGTATTTGCGAATGATTTTGCACATTTTTAGTCTTTTGCACATATCATACCTTTGGTGAGGATCACCCCATGATGCTGGCACTGCAGCGCCAGAGGGGCACTGCCTACTCCACTACTATGTGCTATAAAAGGTGCTGATGATTGTCGTTGATGCTACTCGAGTCGATAGCCTGCAGCTTAGCACATTTCTTGATATTGTTGCGCGTAGAAGCCTGAGTTATGCTCTTGGTAAGGTAAGTTTTCTTTATGGCCCAGTCAACCAAATTTTGCTGAATCATGATGCAACAAGCATTTGAGTGTTTCTAATTTAAAGGTATGAAGCATTGGCAAGGCTATCTTGCACCATCTGTGTACGGACTGTGGGTTGCAACGTGTGGGATTAAAAGTCAGAAAAAAAAGCAGCGCTCTCTTCCTTACTAAGAACATCCCCCTAATAAAAGACCAAGATGGCTACGTGTCTCTGACCAGAGAAACTTTAAACTACGTAGAGAACCGAAAATTAAGAATAGCTTTGATGTCCTATGTGTTCTCTGAGGCTCTCTGATTGCTGGTTTGGGAGATTCAGTGTCGGGGGGGGGTGTAGTGGAGCTTTGTACTTTTTATCCTTTAGCTAGTTGGCTTTACCTTATATGTGTATATTACTACAAATGAATACCCAATTAAACCTTATATCGTATGCTACAGTTTTTCCACCGAGACTATAAGTAAGCGGAGGAAGGATAGTACTTGTTTAGACACTCTTCTCTATGCGTATGTGCACGTGAAGTATTTAAGGCACATAATTACTCTGTGTTTAGCAAGAATAAGCAGCTCGTTCTGTGTCGGTAAATGTGTTCGGTGCCCCAAACCGTTGGCGCATAAAGGTGACAACATTACTTTTCCACAGGCACGGCAAAATCTATTATAAATCATTCTCTTCACCGCACCGGGCCGATAAAATTAGCTTCCGCTGTCAATGAAAAAGTAATCAGAATCAGAGGCTGATCGAATGAATGCGAGTTGGACATGTGGCACATGTCCAGCTCGCATCGTAGTATTCAACATCAAAATTCTTTACCTCAGCATTAAAACAGAGTCAGCTATAATTCGTTCAAAAGATCAATTTGTTTATTTAAATATATTACACATACAACGCATAATTAATTAATTTAATATTGACATAAAATGAACAGGTAATTATTTGAATCTGTATTAATAAATTTTTTAGAGATGAGTAGCACTACTCTTTCATTGAATCTGGAATTTTGATCATTGTGAAGCCCAGGCGAATGCAGATGTAGGCCTTTCTACGCTGATCTGGTGTCGGGGGATTTGTTGGATCACTCGTATGGATTCAAAAAATTGTCATCTTAATGCGAAACATGACCTTTCGAGCTCAGCAAGAATTTATTTAGCCTATAGCAAGAGGCAGAAGCTGGGGACGAAGGATACCTTATACGTAGCCGGATGCCAAAAAATGTACCCCGTTAAAGTTTGCGAGGTGGTGTTTTAGGGCCTGTAAGGAAAATTTTTCAGATGTCCGATGAATAGGTAAACATGAAGCTCATGGATAGACCGTTAAGTAAAAAAGGCTTATTCTGCGATCATTATCGACCAAGGATCCCCGCGACGGCGGACTGCAGAACGTCTAAAACGTATCCGTACGCAAAGATATGCCGTATTCTTTCATTTTCATACATAGAAGTGCCGGCAAGCCGTTACGCAAGAACCTGACACTGATAGCAGTAAAAGAATCATGAGCAGCACCTGCAATATCGCAAAAAGGGTTTTAGATCCCAGAGAAAGTGTAGATAAATTGGAGTCTGAGGTAGATCGATGCTTTCGACAAAAATAGTTTGGGAGGAAGTAACTATATCCGTAGACCTCGATAAACCTTAGGTCGTTCTATAAAAAGTGTGTTGCGTTGTGTGTAATTAGTAAAGTAACACCGAAGTCTATTTTATAAAGTGGGGTGGGTAACCTATAGAATTGAGTTCCCTGTAGCCCCGCACTCCTAACATCACTAAATGTTAGTTTTCTGCAGGTATGGGTGGTGATTTTGGCCTACCACTCTTGCAGTCGCACGGAAGGATCACTGGATGTGCGGCGGTAAATGCGTGTGTGCTACGTGCACAAGATAAAACGAAAGATAATTTACGCGAAAGGAACGAACAAAGAAAAAAGCATGAGACCCTAGAGAGTGAGAGCAAGACGCAAGCAGCTCGTTTATATCGTCTATAATTGTATAGTCGATTTAACCTACTTCTTATCATTTTGACGCACGCGTCTGTAGACATTTAATATAAAAAACCGAGCGAAGAGTGCTTTGTTGTCGTGCTGGAGGCATGAATTGTGGCACACCTGGACATTGGCGTAGAGAGATCGCGGTGTTCGAAAATGGTAATTGTAATAATGCATGCTACTTTGTCGCATTGTCCATGCCGAAAAGATGTGTGATATACATGAGCTACTATTAATTGCTTACAAATTAGATCTGTTTTGATCTGTTTTCTTGTCAATTCATCAACACGGACAAGCTTATTGAGGCATATGCAATGTTCGCTCGTTAGTGAGGTCAAGCACTGTAGACGGTCATTTTTGAACCTGCAACATCCACGATGCCTAGAGAGCCGACTGCGCCAGGCGTGCACCCTGCACAGCATGCTTCGGTTGTGCTTTCCAAACAGCCGCACACATGGAGGAGTGCTCTCCAAAAGCACTTGAACAACAACAATGGCAGAATTTCAGCTTGATCGCTCATCAGTATAGAAGTCCTGGCTAATGCTCCATCAGCCTAAAGATCTCGTCTGCTATCTACCACCAGTCATTCATCGAGAAAAGTGATCGCCTGGAGAGGTGACATCCGCGATACAGGTTATTTCTTTCTGCCAGAGGCAGAAGTTGCGTACGATGGCGAACGATACTGTATCCCCTAAGTTTTGTGCAACTATCCACCGTGACGTAAATTCGGACGTCCCCCACCGTTTCGTGTGTCGCGCGAAGCCAGCGTTGAAGGCAATGCACAATCAGAACTGTGGTGCCGTGGGTTCTCAAAACTGCGTGTTGAGGTACCAAAACACTCAATTTGCTGGACTGCCGAAGTAGGAGGGGGGGGGTACCCCGATTTCGCGTATGGACTTTAACCCACCTTGTGTACCCGTCGACTTGCGGGTTGTACATTTCGGTAGAATAGGACGGAGTGAAGGATGTTGTGGTCTTGAGAGAGATAGACCTGGGGCTCCGTCCGCAATTTACCTTTAGGGACCGCGGTCTACCCTAAGAGGTTGCGGTCTACCCTCAGGAATCGTGGTCCAGCCTTAAAAATTGCGGTATAGTCTTGATGACCAGGCAATGAGGGTCATCTTCTATCAGTATTGCTTAAACTGAAACCTGAAGGACAGTATTCTCCTTGATTGGGTCTCCGCACTCCTCGCCCCTGAGATTCCAATCACTCTCTCGACCCCTTCGCTATCAGGCACCCTAACCGTGACGGTGGGCCCCCGTCCCTTCGTCTTGATCAACTTGTCCCTTCGTCGCGATCGTCTCCAGGTCCATCGTCTTCTCAAAAGCACTTTATTACATAATCGACTCACTTCTTCCCTCAGATATCGTAGAAATCGATAGGCAATTCCGCCACTGTTCAAAAAAAATTACCGTATCGCATGACATAAAAATTGCTAAAACGAGCTGTTCATTATGGATAGGTTAGTTGCCTTGTTTTCCGAACCTACGTATAGTGTTTTGCGTGTAGACGAAATGTAGTTCAATCTTTACAGCACATCGACGCGTCATCACCTTACTGGTGATGAAGTTTTACTACATCGTCATCCCCTGAATGAGCAATAACGACAAAAAGATGTTTTTTTCGCATTCACGCGGCAACGGTACAACTTCCACAGGAAGTCCAAGCTCGACTAGAAGATCTATTAACGATCGACGGTGCCGCATGAGCAGAGGCGCTGCACAGAGACCCAATATGTATCGAAATGAATGAGAAATCAAGGTGAAGCGACACACCGTTTGGTCGCGACGTGCGTGTGCTTCCTTTAGGATTAGAGTTAAGCGGCATGTGAATCGGCGTGGCTAGAAAAGGATGCTAAAGGACAACACGCGACAAGCACGGTAAATAAGGAAATTAGTGTGAGCGATCGCGAGGTTAGGCTAGGCACACTGCAAATCTTATTTCACATTCTACTATATACTGCGCCAGTCCTTGGAAAACAATAGGTAGTGGGCCCAAATCCGGCTCCGCCAACATTCGACGACTCTACCCCTGCTTCTGCAGTTCCCGGCCTCAAAAAGCCAAGCAACATTCGGATGTCTTGGTTCTAGCCTAAGCCCATATAGAGGTGCGGGTACAGATGTTAGGGTCCTTATAAATGCTCCAGGCGCTCAAGACGTCGCAGATGAAGATCAACGAAAGCGATCGACTACGATGAGCTATCGATAGAGGCCTTGCCATGGGCGGAGCCTTAATGCATAAGAACGAACTTGGATACAACGCGCCGCGACTGGCATGTGGACGGGTGCAAATTGGCGCAACCAAGGGGCTCTCTTTTCAAGCCATTTTTTAGGCCGCAAAATTGCGGCAGACAGCAGAAATATCGGCAGCAAACACCACTTTATGCGCCTAAGACGGCTTGTGCATATAGAGCAAGCGCCCGCTTCAGCACTAGTACCACCAGTGCAACCAGCGCCGATGCAGAATCTACTGATGCGCTCACCGGACCCGCACCGAAGAACGCTCGCAATTTGAAAGTTTGACGGCAGTGAGATTCCACAAGGGCCTCGATTTTAGATTTCTGGACTGTGGAAGAACGCTCCTTCGGCAGGTGTAGATGTATCAACAAGCTTGTGGATTTGCATGGGCGGAAGATGTCAAAGTCGATCTACTGAAACAATACTTGGCAGGCACGGCTGAACGCTATATTTTGAAGCAAGTTAAGAACTGATGGCCCGAAATCGTGACGCTTGACCACGTGGTGGGTCGAATGCTGCACAAGCTTAGGACAAAGATTGCAGCGTCACCGAGCATAAGGATCTTTACGGCTAGGAAGGAACGAAAAAGGTCGTGGCCGGAGCACTTTTGTGCCTGGTGGCCGTATGCGACGCGTGCGGTGGAGGCGCCGAACCAGAAGTACTGAATGACATTGTCCACTACGCGTTAGTGATGTCAGTACCGTGTTGACGGAAAAGTACAACAACGGGGGGGGTACGACAACTTATGGCAAGCGGAGGAACTGGCACACTATACCCAAGGAATTTGAGAGTGAAAACGAGACCAGGCAAACAATCGGCTGCGAAGTCGTTGCGGCAGTCACAGGCAGAGACACGCAGAAAGAAATCGCTCGTGCTAAACCTTTGGAAAGAAATAACACTTGAAGATGTCAAAAGATGCTGTGATGAGGTGTCACTTGCCGATTACGAGAAGATCGTGCCGACGAAGGTAGGCAGCGTACGGCTCTTTGTGAACGCCGACAGAAAGGAGAGCACTGTGCTACTCACGAGCGTGCACTTCACGTCGAGTCTCGCTTGCAACATCGTGAGCTACGAGAAGCTTGACGAGAATGGTTACGCGTTGATGTAAGCGAGGCGAAGCGTGTTATTGCGCACCGCTGTGACGATCATGTCTCGCATTAAATTGTGTTACAGAATAGACTTTTGGTCGTCAAGACAGTAGGCATGGATGCGTGGGGTCAAAAGACAGTTGACGTTGTCATGGATGGTTTACAGGAGAAACTAGCAGCTGAAACTTCCCTGAAATGCATCGCGACCGTTGCTCCACCTTCATCAACGCTTGAGGCATCTCTCGCACGACACAATCGAGAAGATTGACAGGAACCCCATGCTGGACATTGAGCTCACGAGCCACAAGCGCATGCCGTGCACTTCTTGTTCCTGGATCAAGCATACCAAGAACAAGCAGAGCAAGAAGGACTCGGAACGGAGCGTTCGGATTAATTGCATTAAAGGCGTTATTTTTTTGTTCAGACTTTAAGGGTCATCTGACGCGAGCCGATCGGCATCATTGTTGGCATTTGAAACATGTTTTATTTGAAAGAGCAAATACTGTTGCAAGTTCTTGGCGCACACGAAGGATGCTTCCGCAGAGAAGTTCAAGAATTTCATGTTGTTGAGACCAGAGATGCAACACTCGAAATAGGCATTTCGAGTGTCGCATCTCTGTTCTCAGGACCGACGGTTGAAGGGGAATATTAAAACGTGGATCGTTTCTGCAAGACCATAGGTGTTGCGAGACAAGTAGGAGAGGCCAAGAGCTAGGACTCCAATGGCAATGATGAACGGATGCAGCATACAATTCTCAACATGACCAGAGCGATGATCTTCCCGTCAAGGCTACCACCCAAGTTTTAGGGAGATGTGGCGGTGTATTCAACCTAAATTATCATCCGGAGTCCCACGAGCTCGAATTCGAAGTGAGCTTTGCCACTGGAAGTACTAAACGGTCATGCACCCGATTCGCGCAACATCGTCGTGTTTGGGTCGAAATGCACTTCTACCGCAATCCATCAAAAAACGACTTTGCGCACCGAGATCAAGTCGCCACTATCTTCGGATGCAGCAATGGGACAAAGTGCGTCAGGGTCTATTTAATAAAAGTCATCATGACTCAACATGTGAAGAACATCGAGACGCCGACCGAAACGCTAAACCGACAGCTGCAGCGTGGGCTCGATGAAGAAGATCGCGCGGGCGCTGACGACGGCGCGCCAGTGCAGACAAAGCAGCAGAAGTTCAAACGAAAGAGATCCAGTGGATGCGGCACCCGCACATGAAACGCGTATCTGCGAAGAAGTCGACATTGAGCCAAGACCAAGCAGCGGGGAATAGTGGTGTCGTTGGTCATGTGTTCAAACTAGACTCACGGAACTACTCGGAGGTTATGGAGAGCGTCAAGTGCAAAGAGTGGCATGTCGCGGTGCGCGAGGAAATAAGCGCTCTCGAAGCAAACGACGCGTGGACTTTGGCGCGACGCTCGAGACACATCAATTTTCTCCGCACCAAGTGAGTATTCAAGGCCAAATTGACTGCTACCGGCGAGCTGGAACGGCACAAGGCGCGTTTTGTGGCCGTGTGGAAATGAGCAAGTGTTTGGTTGGACTACGCGCTAACGTTAGCCACTGTCATGGACGTGATCCTTGCACTCGCTGCGACTTGAGACTTCCCCGCCAAGCCTGGCGACGTGCCTAATGCCCATGTTAAGGCGGAAAAGATTAACACCCATAGTTACTGATGCACGTGCCGAATGAAATGAAGATCAGCAAAGGGAAGCTCAAGAATTTCCGAGTGTACAACGCATCCCGAAGTCGTGCTCGAGCTCAAGGAAAGCCTCTAATGGCTAAAACAGATGGGTGGCTAAAGAGTCAAGTTCTCCACAAAAGTCTTGAGGAGGAGGACTTTACGTGGCACATCAGCGACTTGTGTTTGTACCACCGGCACGTTTTGACCGGCGGGGTGATCATCGGAGGCTATGTGGACGACCTAGCTCGTCAGAGTGACGACAAGCCACGCGGTGCAGGCGTTTTTGTTAGCCTCTAGTGCCTCAAGATCAAGAACCTTCTGTCTGTGTCAAAGTTTTAGCACATGCGTGTTACTCACCGCAATGAGCGTGAGTTCATGCTAAATTAGGAAGAGACAATCATCTACATGTGCGGCAACATGGAATGCACGATGCTAACGATGTGCGAGCTCCAATCGGAGCAGACTGCTACGATGTAGCGAGCGCAAGAGACGATCTACTTCCAGTCACGAGTGCGTCATGACAGTCGAACATCCGTGTGTTTCAGTCGCTTGTGGGATCGCTGCTCTGGGTGGCCAGTTGCACGAGACCCGACATCTCGTTTGCGGTTCACAAAGCCACAAACCAGACTCACACGCCGCGCATGCAGGACTGGAAGCTTGCAAAGAGGATATCTTGCTATCGGACCAGCACGCAAAGTTCAGTATCTGCATGACAGCAACTACGGAGGTGGACGCGCAGCCAACGCTCGACAGCTACTGCGATACCTGCTATGTAGCATACAGGTCGGATTTGAAGTGCCTGAGTGGCTGCGTGGTGCTTTAAAATGGCATGGCCGTGAGCTTGTGGTCAAACGAATAAGGCGGCGTGTCTCTTAGTGCAATAGAATTGTTTTTGTTGCGGCGTCAGAAGCCGGACGCGAGCTGCTCGGCATACGCAAGACACTTACCGAGATCGCTGTGACAAAGACGCTGGCGCTCACGGTATACAGTGATTAGCAGGCGGTAATTAGTGCAGATACCGGGAGAAGCGACGTCAACGAAAATGAAGCCCTTTGACGTTCCCGTCATGTACTTGTCCGACTAAGCGCGGCGTGGTATTGTGACGCCTGTCGAAATGAAGAGCGAGATCATGCTCGCTGAAGTCCTCACTAAAGCACTTGACGCGAGCAAGCTGACCGAGTTGCAGACGCTGCTGTAAATCGCGTAGCTTGGGTGTGAAAGACGCATGGAGTCGTCGACAAGAAGGAGTGTTGAAGATCGACGGTGTCGCTTGAGCAGAGGCGCAGCACAGAGAGACTGTAAATATTGGAATGCATAAAGGATAAAAAGGTGAAATGACGCACAGTTTGGCAGTGACGTTACGTGTGCTTCGTCTGACATCATCGTTGAGCGGCGTGTGAATCGTCGTGGGTAGCAACGGCTGCTAACGGACGACAGGCGGCAAGCGCAGTAGATTAGGAAATTAGTATGAGCGATAGCGAGATCAGGCAAGGTCACAATGGAAATCTGGATTTCAAATTTACCATCTACTGTGCAGCTTTTCAGAAAACAAAAAGATCGGCATATGACCTGTCGTCGAGACCGCAACAGCAACGCAATTTTTCAGCTAACATCCCGCTAGAACTATTGTCGTACCAAACATCACCATGACACGAGAATTCTACGTCCGCACGCTCGAAGATAAAGTGTTTCCATTAACTGGGAAACTTTGGTCAGGTAATTGTTAACTAGGTTGTATTTGCAATTACTCTTATTTTACGTCTTTTTTTCTTGCAAAACGTTTGGGTGACCGATCGTCAACAACAAGATTCAGCAAGACTGCGCAGGGCAAGACTGCATAGGGCCGCACGTCTTGTAGAACAATGCGGACATTTATGGATACAGAAAGAGAAGAGATTTGGAACATTGTGGTGCAATGCCTGCCGCCGTGGTCCCCATACATGAATGTGTTGGACCTTGGAGTGCTCAACGCTTTTTCATGTGTGCAGTACCAGACGGAAAGTCACACGACGGGAGCACCTGTGGATGATGTTAACCGAGATTTCGATCGAATTCAAGAGGACTCAATCGACAAGACGTTCTCGACGCTGCAAAAAGTGATGGAGAAGGTGATTGAGATCGAAGGTGACAATGCTTTTTATTGGTTGTGTGTAAAAAAGATTCGTTTTGCACGTGTCATCCCTCATCGTAGCCGATTGCTCCTGAGCTTGTTCATGAAGGTCATCCTCTTTGGAAAGATTGGCTAATTCGAGACTTGAGCAGGGTTGTAACGATGATGAAAATGAGTGTATTTTTATCAGCTAACGTAATTCCAAATCTATCCATTTTTTGACACATTCCGCAAAATATAAAGTGAATAACCTCGTGTACAATCGTTCTGCAGTTCAGTATTGAAACTTTTGATTAGATTGTCACATGCTTTGTGGATAATTAAAACTTTGTGCTCGAGTGAATCCCAACACCTGTTGACCTCAGTGCGTAAAAAACCTTGAGCCTGTGAAAAATGACCAGACAAAACCCCTTCGCGATCTGCAGTTAAATGGGCTCCAAAACTTGCACTAAACGCTTCAGAATGAGTTCTTTACGCTGGTGTTACTTTCGCCTTAAAATAAGGGCTGTGTCAAAAATGCAAGTCAAAGCGTGATAATATAGAAAAGGAATTTATTATTTCCACCACACTTTTTACTATTTCCACCGCACCGTAACCCTTAGCATAACCTTACAGGCGCACCACACACACGAAACTACCTCACACACGAAACTACTACACACATCACAAATAGTAGCAAACTTTCCCAGCCAAACTCTCGGCCTGATAAAACCTGGCTTTAGCCTTGTGCAGCACCTTATCGACGCTGTATATTCGCTCGTTCTTTCCCGTGCAAGCTGTGGCGATTCCCAAGACCTTGGCCAACACAAATGACCGCTTGACGGAAATCTGTCCTCTCGGCTCCTACTGGATTGTAAGACGCTCTCGTAAGCCGTGCCAATTGTCCAGCGACTGTTCTCGCGTGTTGTCTGTCGTGTGCGTGTACTTATTGTCTTACCTGGTCAAGATATCGCTTCCAGTAGCATGATATCATGCAGGTGTTTTGCCAGTATACACCGCTAACGTGTGGATTAGCTGTCGGGCGAGGAATTTTGGAGCCGAACAGCGTGCACTTGTAAGTGCTGAACATGGCTCTGGACAGGACGTGAAGGACGCAATGCAAAGAGAAAGAGTTCTAATGATATTGTGGTGGCCACGCCATGACGATTGGTAGACCATTTGGAACAAACGCGTGGCTTTACATTGCAGCATCTGCAGCTCTTTGTTGTTAATGAAGCTGGTAGATTGTTGGGTCAGTCGTACCATGACTGAGTCGCTAAGGTTTGTAGCAGTGTCTATGCTTGACAATAAGTGGGTGATGACGGACTGGCTGGCGACGCTTGGGGCGTCATTTGGCGGCGACAGACGCCGGATTCGTACACCGCGTTGAACACAGGCGAAGGTAGAGAACTTGTGGGGGTGGAAAGAGGTCAGGTCAATTACACGTAGACGTACCTTTATGCACTAATTTAGCACAGCCACTTCTTGGAAATTTGACGGTGCTCTGATCGGAGATCGTCGTGTCGGCGGGAGAGGGTGTGATGTGTGTGTGGTAGTTTCATTTCGTGTGGTGCGCCTGTAAGGTTATTTTAAGGGGCCACGGTGTGGTGGAAATAGTGAATAGTGTGTTAGAAAAAAACCTTTCCCCCGAAAAAGGGACAGATAGTACAGTAGAAGTATCAATCACGTCGAATTATTTCCTGATGGTATCATTATCACAGAACATTGTTAAGCTGAATAGAAATTTTTATTTCATAATTCAGATGCGGAAGCATCAAAAGTAAGAGCAGCGCGTACTCCAAATTAATTTCGAGAGCTCTACAGTTTAGGACGAGCGATTCCGTCTTTTAGCCATTGAAACGTTGTCACGGTAATTATCACATCTCTTCCGTTTATTCCAAAACGCTATCGAAAACAATGATCCCGAAAACTGCATCACTCGGTAATTAATCATGCCTTTCAAAAGTCTGCGGCCAGAAGAGCGGAGCAATGCAGTGGCAACGCCCTTATCAGCTGCTGCTCGCAATTTTTACAGTGATAAACAGTCCAGTGTCTACACCACGGCTTCCAACGCAAGTGTCCAAAAAGACCTGACGCGACACGCCCTCGAGCTCCTGCAAATGGAGTCGAAGCCATCAAACGAATGGACCACCAAGGACGACGAGGATGTTTTTCTGCTATTAGAGTTGGGAGCAGGATCAGGTCTGAGTACACGGGCAGCTCACTACTGGTTTAACGATAAAAAGCTGGAAGTTTTCATCCTGGCTCTCGACATCAGTGCTGCAATGCTGTCTCTAGCGTCGCAGAGTCAACGACTCGAAGCTGTAGCAACTCGAGCGTGGACGGACTTTTACTGTGGAAACGCTGCACAGAAACTACCACTTCGAAGCGACGTCCTGGACGGTGCCATTGGCATCTCGATGCTGCAATGGCTGCAACCAGAGGGACCGGAGATCTGTTTCTCGTCGCTGTTCAGGCAACTGGCTTCGAGTCACGATACGCGAGCAGTTTTTCAGGTCTATCCCTCCAATTTGGCATGCATTGACATGATGGAACAGACAGCTCTGCGTGTGGGATTCAGTCGGGCAGAGACGTTTGTGTCTTTTCCACACTCGACCACGGCGAAGAAGTGGTTCTTCTGTGTCGAAAAGCGCCGGAGTGTGGCAGCTGTGGATGAACAAGGGGCTCTAGAGAGGTCTGAAATGTGTCTGTTTGCGAGACGATATGACCGACGTTGCGTGTTGCAGTGGCTCGGGAAGGAATGTGGAAATGTGCATGAGATCCGAAAGCGGGTCGAAATGGAGCACGTGAAAACGGCTTGGCATATCTGGCGGAAGTATCGACGGTCGGTTACGAATGATCGAACTGCAGCCACGCTAGCGCAAACAGCGATAGCAATGCAAGCAAAAGCTCAGCAATCGCTCGAGTTGTATCCGAGTGACAAATATATCGGTCAGGCTCTCCAGCTGCAGTTTGAAGCGAGAGCAGGACGTATCTCACTCGCCTTCCTTCTGAAGCATGCAGCAGAAGTGGTCGACGTATTGCACACAGCTTATACAGAGGCTAGAAAGACCGAGGTTGCCCACGAACACTGCGATGAGAAACGATAAGGACAGTCGTGTACTATCGACACTGCTGGTTCATTACTCTGTCAAACATGTTCAGGCACTACTTTTACGGCAAGTAGACGTCCATTGTGACATCAGGGCACAGATCGTTTGGTATGGAGATTTTGTCACTCTATTCGGCTTACACACGATACTCCTCGGTAAACTAGTTTACGAGCTCCAGGGGCATTACCGAATCTAGATTACACTGTATTGCACGACTAATACGCCGTCGAGATAGCATAAGATCTGTGAGGAACGGAACTTCCGGATGCTTATCGTGTATCAAAGACGATGAAGTGCAACGAATTCCATGGCCTTTTTCGGCTCTCGAAAATTGGGTACGATAGCCTAATTTAGGACAACACGCGCATCAGAACGTGTCAAGAGACAAGGTTGCCAACGGACTGACTGACTTCTACTTTATATCGAGTTGAGTATGGAATAAAAAAGTGCTGGCTGCAGAATGGTGTAGTCGTAACGCATTCTCAGCCTTCCTTACAGCATCACCAGTCTATATACCCGTTCTTCAAGTTATACAGGTGACGATATCGCACAAACACGATCAATTACCATCCACACCGCTAAGTTCGCACTTCAGCTATTCGATTCTACAGGCCAGTCGAAAGTGCGATCCGCAAGCGTCGGTCCGAGCCGTCAGTTTCTAACTTGCGATAATAGACTTGTGTCCGAACTCGGGCCAAAGGAAGAGAAAATGCTCGCAGCCGTGCGATCGATTCAGAAGCCCGTGGTGAGCACGGGGCTACGCGCCTTCTCGGTCCCGACGTTCCAGCCAGACCTCAAGACCCACGCAGCCAAGCCCAAGGTACGTACGAGGTCCATGTCGCACCCTTTTGTAGGTGTTCCACCCTCAACGAACCTCATCAACCTCATGTGTGTGACTGTTGCTACTGCGTGCAGAACATCAAGTACTTCAAGATCTACCGCTGGGACCCCGAGTCCAAGGAGAAGCCGTACCAGTGCACGTATCCCGTGGATCTGGACGAGTACGTCCACATCAGGGGCGCGGATGGGGTGGACTATGGACGTCGCGACTAATTGGCCTGGTGTGCACGTGTGTGTAGATGCGGTCCCATGGTGCTGGACGCGCTGATCAAGATCAAGTGCGATCAGGACCCGACGTTGACATTCCGTCGGTATGGTGATGAGGAGAACTAGTTGCTTTGGGAGAGCGGATGTGTGACTGACGAGGTTGAAATGCTCTGCAGCTCATGTCGTGAGGGAATCTGTGGCTCGTGCGCCATGAACATTGACGGTGGTAACACGTTGGCCTGTTTGAGCCCCATCAAGAAGAACAAGGAGGACGTGATTACTATCCACCCGCTGCCGCACATGTTTGTGATTCGGGACTTGGTGCCGGACATGAACAACTTTTACGACCAGTACACGTCCATTAAGCCGTGGCTGCACTCGGACAAGCCGAGTGATGTCAACCATGAGCACTTGCAGTCTATCGAGGACCGCAAGAAGCTCGATGGCATGTATGAATGCATCCTGTGTGCGTGCTGCAGCACCTCTTGCCCTAGTTACTGGTGGAATCCTGACAAGTACCTCGGCCCTGCTGGTACGTTACTACTGTTTCATTGTGTGGCTGGAAGCACCCAATTAATAGCTGCTTGATGTTCAAAAAACAGTGTTGATGCAGGCGTTCCGATGGATTGAAGACTCGCGCGATGACAAGACGGAGGAGCGTCTGCGCGCGCTGGATGATTCGTTCAAGCTGTACAAGTGCCACACGATTATGAACTGCACCCGCACATGTCCGAAGGGTTTGAACCCGGCTCAGGCTATCGGTAAGATCAAGACGCGTCTTGCTAACTTGCATTAATCTCGCGTGCTGGTGTCCGAGAGATGCAGCAAGCCAGGCCACTGTCCATCCCTAAGGTGCGGTAAGCAGAAGCGGCACAAAACGCATATACTGCCTCTGTCAAGCTTTCGTGACCAACCAGTGTCGGTTAAGGATGCATTAACTGAAAAAAATACAATTTCGCGCTTACGCTCGCTCGAGCGAAGGAGAATCATGAATGAATGCTAGTGCTTTGCATTGTGAACGCTCAGAAACATTGTTTATGGCGCCTTTCATGGTGTCAAACAGGTTCGAATGAAAGCATGTTTATGTTTGTTTATTGAACGTGACAGGTCTACGTTTTGGGTTGACCTGTCGGCCTAGCGCTACCTACTCAACGCTGCACGCCAAAATCATGTCTAATCGTCCTCTGCAACATTGAGCACTTCACTGACACAGAGGAAAAATTAAAAAAAAACAATGTAGCAAAAGCGAAAACGCCTTGTGACGAAAGGGGTCCTGGTCCTCCCACGTCCAGCTTGCGACGCCCGCAAGCAGAAAAATTGATCATACATTGCAGGACGATCCCGTCATACCGTTGCCCTCACTCGCTGGTTCACAAATGCCGGTCCGTGACGAATTTTCATCAGAGTCGTCTTCGAACACGACTTCAAAAAATTGACAGTCTTTTTCACCCCCATCGTAGATGTGTTGCGGCCATTGATTTCGATAATTACGTCGCCCACGCAAACGTGCCGCAACAACTCGCAACAAGGCTTCTGACAGACATCCGTCACAAGCGGGTAGGTGCCCTTGGCCAAACGTACCTCCTTTAGCTGTAAACCAATACTCCGGTTTTCCTTCCACTTGATGAGAAACGTCGTGCTATCAGGAGTATCCGCCATCGTCAGCTTGGGTTTTGGCCGCCCACGGACTTGAATGGTTGTATTGACAGCATTTGGAGCGACAAGGGGGACTGTGACAGCATCATCTTCATGAAGTGCTGGCAGTTTCGTCACGCCACGAGTGCTTTTACCCTTCTTCTTATACTTGGCCAAATTTGCGTTCATAGATGACTTGGTTTGTTTCGGTACGTTTGCAGCATCGACCTTAGATTTAGAGCTCTCCGGCATCATGACATCGCCTTCCACAGTATCGATATCACCAGAAATATCCGGGTCATGTGAAAACTCATCCGACGGGTCGGACACGTCTTCGAAATCGCCCTTTGGGGTGTCCATTTCGTTATCGACCGGTATGCACCCGCTGCTCGAAGACGTTGGTCCGTCACGTGAAGTAGCAGTATTACTACTGTAGTGGTACGCCTTCTGACCGTCAGATTCTGGTTCAAGATCCCACGGACTCGTATTCTGGTCACTTCCGGCCTCAATACTTTCCAACACTTCCGACTCAGTGTCCTCGACAGCAATACCCATTTCCACACCGGCAAGCATGCCCACCTCCACAACCGGATTACTGCTGTCTTCTGCCAAGTCGTTCGCAGGTAGCGACGAGATCAATAGCTCTGTTTCCGAAGCAAGCTTCACGCCTCTAGCCGGACCAGCCTTGTACGCCACTTCTGCATTTGCAGGCTCGCCTTCGTCGATCAACTCTGCCTCCTGTACTAGTTCAGCCTCGTCAACGACTTCCGTCTCTTCAACAAACTCAGCTTCGGCCATAACGACACCTTCGAAATCGATCTCGGCGTTAGGTGACAACAGTACGCCGACATCGACACCGCTATCTACTTCAGCCGACTCCAACGTCAAAATTTCCGGCAACGGTATGTGCTTAGGTGAATCCAACGTTTCAGTCGGTGACGAAGAGACTGTATCGTTATCCACAAACAACACTGGCTCCTCTTCATTAGTAACAGTTGGTGACTTTTGGCTCCACTGATCTTCGGTCGTATCGCAATCTTGTTTATCGTGGACATTGGTGAGGGCGATACTCTTCGGCGATTGAACTGCCTCTCTTTCCTTCGCGGCGGAAACGGGAGCGACAGCCGCTTGGTCAGGGACTTCCGCGTCGCAAGACGACGCCAAATTACCCACTTCATTCTCGATCTCACTTCCAACACACGGAAAAACTGGTGAAACCAATGGCGAGCTGCTCACCTTAGGAGAATTGTAAATAATCGGCAACGCACTCGGTGAACTGTCTGACCTTGCCGAACTCTGTACTGGTAGTGACCCATTGGCTTTAGGTGACGTTTGGTAATCAGTGCTCGAAATCCATTTTGGTCTCTCACGTTGTCGTGCGCTTTCGCTTCCTTTCAATGTTGCTGGGGAGCTTGGCGGAGATGTAATCTCGTGACCACTTGCACCACGGCGGTCTTCACGAGGGTGGGTGCTGGCTTCCAACCGAACTTGAGGAGACGGTGGAAGTGGTGGCGGAGTCAACGCATGCTTCGCGTTTGGAATAGGTGTACGGTTATGGCATGGTATCCTCTCATCTGCAGGCGAAGTTGGTGGCAACGAAGGAGCGTCCACTGTGATGGATAAGGTTCGATTATGCGATCCCGTTGGCTGTTGACACCGCTGTTCGTCACGTAACTCCTGCTCTCGTTGCTGTTCCTTACGAACCTCATCCTCCACCTGCTTTTGTCCAATAACCCGCTGCTCCCGCTGGTTCTTTTCCAAAATCTGCTGCTCCTGCTGCTTTTGATCCAGAATCTGCTGTTGTTCGAGAACCTGCTCCTCCCGCTGACGTTGTTCTTGAATCTGCAGTTCCCGTTGCTTTTGTTCCAGTGCTTGCTCCTCCCGATGCTTTTGTCCCAGCATCTGCAGCTCTCGCTGCTTTTCTTCGCGGATCTGCTGCTCCCGTTGCTTCTGTTCGTGAATCTGCAGCTCTCGCTGCTTTTGCTCCAGGATTTGCTGCTCCCGTTGCTTTTGTTCGCGGATCTGCTGCTCTCGCTGCTTCTGCTCGCGAATATGCTGCTCCCGTTGCTTTTGTTCACGAATATGCTGCTCCCGTTGCTTTTGTTCACGAATCTGTTGCTCTCGTTGCTTTTGTTCACGTTGTTCTCGCTGCTCCTGTTCTTGTTGACGTTCATGCAAATCTCGAGCTTCAAACAGCTCGCGTTTTTGATTCTGCTCATGCATTTGCCCCTGTCTCTGCTGAAGCTGCTGCTGCAACTGCTCATGCTGCTGCTGATGCTCATCTTGCTGATCTCCTTGCTTGATGACAACAGCTGGATCTGCTGCCTGTCTTCGCCTAAACACTAGCCGTACAGGCTTGTTCATCTGCTGGAGACGACCGAAGAACGCCTCAAACGTGTAGTCGGCTGACTTGATACCGTTTGCTGACACCAGCGTATCGTGGACAGCAACAGCACGTCGCACGACCAAATTTGCACTCGAAGTCGATCTTGTTACAACAGGCAAATTCGTAGACCGATTCTCCCCAAAGAACAAACCCAACAACCCAGTTTCCCAGTACACCTGATACTCGTGTTGCCCCAGAGGCGAATGCAAAGACGGATCTACTGATCCGTTTGCCGACGCAATATCCCGCGGCGAGACCTGATGGTCTCTGTTGCGTGGCACCCGTTGCTGTCCCTGCAAAGCAGCCATGCGTTCATTTTCTCCATTCATCGCACGCGGTCCAACCACTTGCGCTGCATGGTCGCGATCAGCAGATTCTTTCGTTCCAGCAGTGCGCCAAAACGTGCCTCGCGTTGGCTTGGGCGGTTTCTGGTCCTTCTGCAGCACCGAATGGGATTTCGTGAGCCCGCCAGTCGGGCCCCCTTCGTCACCACGCAGTCCATCTTGTCGCGCTGCATCCTGACGACTATTGCTCCCTGTATTGTTCGCTGAGCTGCCACGTGGCCCGCCAAAAAGCTGCGAGCCATCGTCTTCATCGGACGAGGGCGTGCTGGCCGACTGCCGTTCGAACCGCAGTAGCACGGGCTTCTTCATCGTGGCCAAGATCTTGAAAAAGTCGGAAAACGAGTGGTCTTTCGAGCGCACGACGTTGACAAACTTGAGAATGTCGCCTGGACTCACGATGGGCGAAATGCACGACTCGGTGGCTTTCGACACGTACGGAATCCCATCTTTTTCCGACTCGAGAAAGATCACGCCCAGCACGCCTCGCTCCCAAAGCACCTCGTACTCGTTCTCGCCAAGCGGCGGGAGCTTGTCCCGGATCTTGTCCGCCCACGTCGCACGGCGCACAGCGCTCGGTCCGAGCCCAGGGGACGACGAGCTACTGCCATGCGACGTCGTGGAAGTGCTCGACTTGCTTGAGAACAGGGGAGCGCCGCGGAAGTTCTTGCGGGACATTTTCTTCATCGCCGACACCGCGAGCGCCTTCGTCGTTCGTCGACGTCGGTCACGCCGTCGGTCGGTCGGTCCCTCGTCACGTCCGCGTGAAACGCGCACGGATCAGTCGCTCGGTCTCGTCCCTCGCGCTCTCGTTCGACTCTGACGGTCTGAAAAAGGAAGCGACGACTAGACGGTCTCTCGTACTAAGTACGATGTCGAAAAAGAGTGAAGGTCGCGCTGGGGGAGTGGGAGGAGGTTGCTCGAAAGTGACGCGACGCAACGACGACACACGATCGAGACGGCGCGAGCGAAAAACACAACAGGCAGCTGGCTGGGTACACGCACCCACGCACACAGATACGCACGCGTCGTTGCGATTGCCCGCAACACGGTATGTTCGACAAATCGGTCCTTGCAAATGCGTCACCTTTAGTCGGACACAGGCTTAAATGCAAAGGATCAGTTGCGCATAAACGATGCCATCGTTTCGGATTGAGATGGCGTTCGGACGCAAAAACCACCAATCAGAATCTACCCTGGTTCGCGTTACTTTACAACCCGCGTAACCGTGCACGGTACGAAGCGTACAACACCTGCTATGCTCTAGAAGCTCGGGGTAGGGGAAGCATCGATGCGGGTTAGGGCTGCAAAATCTCACCGCCTGCACCGCCCTTTCTTTGTATTGTGCACCCCAAAAAAAACGAATGTGCGCTTGCGATTGGCTTGTTTATGCACTATGGGCTGTACCCATGTCCTCGAAGAAAAAAAACGGCTCTACATTTCTCGACTTTTTCTATAAATAGTCAACGGATACGCCACGCTGGACAACTACTGTCTGGCCATTTATATCCGGATCACACGACGACGAATTTCTGAGACTGCCGAATGCCGAGCCAAGTTCAGATCAAATGCTGGAAAATAACAATACACTAGCAAGTGCTTTTTTTCTTGCTTGACGGTCGTTATAATCTTGCAATGGAGACCAAGTGCCTCGTGTCTCGAATGTTGCTGTTACTAGTGGCGCTCGAAGGCGTGTCGTTTGCTGTGAACTTTGATGACTTGACGCTTTCGCTGCGAATGGTGCAGCTTGTTCACTTAGGCATCGAGTCGCCAAAGCTCGAGCTCAAGACGGCGGTTCCCGCTGAAGTGCAGTATCTACTGAATCAGAAGGAATTGGCGTGGAAAGACTTGGGAGGGACATTGCAGCGACTACTGCTCTGGGATCATGGCTTCATTGCCACGGACAGCTACACGGCCCGGGAGGTCAGAGTACGCTGCGATCTTGCAATGGATGACGTGACGATTTCGCGAAATGAGTTCGAGAGGTTGCATGATTGCCCGCCGACTGTCTGCTCAGATCTGGTGTGTTCTGGCGCTGTGAGGAGAGCAACGGTCTGTGCTGACAGTCAGATCGAGCAGGTGGCCAAGTGCGCGGTTCTAGAGCTCAAAAGTGAAGTAGCTGCAGCGTCGTTGGCCGTCGAGACGAACGTGATTTGGTCCGAGGAGGGATGCAACGCTGATGTTCCGATACCCACGTTGCGTCGCCATTCTGTCGGGACGTTTGCTATCACGATGCAAACTCCTGTCAGCGAAGAGGCATGTACACATCAGCTTGCTCTTGTCATCCCATGTACGACTGTCAAGTCTTCGGCGAATAGCAGCGAATGGTGCAAACCTCGTCGATCGGGTGTGGTGGCAGAGCTGCTACAAGACCTAGTTGACATGCGTCAGCCAAACGAGGTGCTGCACACAGTATCTACCGGAATACTTGTCGGTATTTATGTGGCTGCTGCTGCGCTCGCTGTGGTGCTATGCTCACTGGGACTCGTGTGCTTTCGCCATACTAGCAGTATGCGGCGGAAGCAGTTGCGAGCTATGCTGGATGACAGTGAAAAATCGACGTGCGATCCTTGCACTCTCACGCCTCGGGGTATGTTTTTCGTAAACGCGGGCAGCAACAACGGAACATCAGAGCCGATGTCCTCCGAGTTGCTTGATCGTGAGTCTTGTTTTGAATTGAGAGCTCGAAGAAGAACCTTGAATGCTACAGCGTCGATGGAAGTCGATTTCTCGGACGTCCTTGGTGCTTCAGAAGTGTTACTTCAATCTCAGAATGATGCTATTGTCCATGCATTGCGCGTTCCCATCATTGACGTAGATGGCGACTGCATGCTTTCTCGTGGCCCATGTAATGAAGTGCTGGTTGGAACTCTTGTCTTGCGCGGGGTTGTTCTCAAGCGATTGCGGGGGTCAAAGCGTAACAACACTCGTGCAGTCGAGCGTTTGGCTCGTGAAGTTTGCTTAGCTGCCAAGTTGAAACACCCAAATATCGTGAACTTAGTGGGTATTGCTTGGAACTCTTTGCAGAATCTCATGGCGATTTGGGAATACCACCACAGCGGCGACCTTCACCGTGCTATGGGCAGTGAGAGAAAATGTCGAGCTTGGACGTGGACTCAGCAAAAACTGCAAATCGCTATTGGCATCTCTCGTGGTCTGTCTTTTCTTCATGTTCAATCACCTCCGATTGTCCATGGCGCAATTGAGCCTCGCCACATCTTGCTGAATTCGGCTACAGGAGATCCGGTACTTTGCGGACTTGGTTCTTGCGCTGGTCGACCTTTTGATGCCACCTATGAGGACGAAGGTAGTCCAGCTGAAGAAGGTAGCATCTGGAACGACCCGGACGTGTTTACAGAGCGTGGGTTTTCACAAAGCTCGGACATGTATTCGTTTGGTGTTCTATTGGTAGCACTAGACACGGGAAGGCCGTTAATTGGTGTTGCGAGGGCAGATCTACTGAAGTTGCTGACACCCCGTTGCCCTGACTTTATTCAAGAAATGGCTCGTGACTGCCTTCAAAGTGACCCAATGAGACGTCCATCTGCACGGGTCGCGCTGTGTCGCTTGGAGAAAGATTGTAACCGAGGCTCTATTCCTTCGCGATGATTCCAAGTCGAGCAGGTGTGATCGAGGAACACGTTCAAGGCATTTCAGAGTAATTGCTGAAGTTTGGTTGATGCGAGTGTTTACAAGCAGCTGCAGAGAAATGGCACCAGTACAATGTACTGGTCGATTCTACGTACCTTAACTTACTTAGTGCATCTAATTGCACTGTGTGTGACATGACAAAGGTTGCCCGAACAAGAGTAATGGACAGGGTGCCATGAGAAGAAACCAATCGGCAATTCGAGCTGGATGCACAACACGACGCGCAAAATACTGTAAGCTGGGTCTTACCCCATAGAAATTTCTACAAGTCCGAAAAGAACTGCTCGTTGGCCGTAGGAAATGCCCGACGGCCTTTAGCCGCATTCCCCGCGTCGGAACTATCACTGTCGCGATCACTATCAGCATCCCGCATTTCAGTATCAATCGACATTTTGGCGGATGCCTTGTCCTCGCTTTCGTCAACGACTTCATCCTCGTCATCATCGTCTTCCTCAAAAAGGTACCCGACATCCCAGAAATGCACCTTGTTGGTGTGTGAGACGCTACCAATGATCTTCTTGTCATGTGAAAAGTTCAAGCCTTCCACTGGGAAGTCTTCGTGATCGCCGATGAGTCCCAACAGTTTGTTTGGGTGAAGCTGTACCACCCTGTAATGTCATGTGTAAGGTAACGCGAGCAAAGTCAGCAGTAGGTTCTTTCCACAAGTTGGATGCATCAACAAGGCTGAACGTACCGAATGATACCGTCACTTGATCCCGTAAGCACAGTATCTTCATCCACTTTAAGTAGGGCCTCAACCGAATCCGGATGACCCGGAAAGCGGTCGGACATATCTCCCCAAGTACCCCAGCTGAAAATCACGAGCACACCATCCTGCGCGCCGCACACGATTTTTCGACCGTTTTTAATTACTGCAACCGATAGCAGTTCGTCGTCCAGCTCGTCGCTTTTGCCTGCAAGGACATTTTTGCGCATGTCGTAGGCCGACAAACGTCCGTCGCCACTTGTCGCCACCAAATGGTCTTGCGCCGGGTTTGTCGCAAACCCAGATATATAGTCCTACAGTCAAACAAGTCCAGCGTGAGCAAGCTTACTCGGGCATGTTGCTAACAAGCGGCAGATAGCGTACCGTGTGTTCTTTGAACTCGGACAGACAGCGATGCTGCCGAGTATCCCAAATCTTGATGCAACCTTGGTCATCGCCGCTTGCAAACACATTGACCGACAGCTCGTGCAGACGGTTCACTGGATGACTATAGCAGCACGAACGAGAGCGTCAGCCTTCAGATATCAAAACAAGGCGTGACGTCCGCGTTCCTTTCTTACTTGTGCGCTCGCATCTCCGCCCACGTCGGGTTCCCAAGCGTGTCAAACGCCCGAATGGACTTGTCTGCAGACGCCGTGTATAGAGCTGGACACAGCAACACCATCAATACTCGCTTCATCCCACACACGTCCATTCATTCAATCCCAGCGAGTGCTCGTCATCGTACTCTGTCCATCAGGAGAAAAGAGCAGCGCCCGAACAGCTTCTTGGTGGTTCTTGATTTCCAGAACCTTTGTATTGGCCTCCTCCGAGTACTTGTAACTGCATCCAACCGGTGCCACCACGCACACCGCAACGTCAGTCGCTCTTGTAGCAAAGACGTCAAACTCAACTTTCGTATCAGCTCTTACACTTGCACAATGCCATCGATACACCCAACAGCGACAATGTCCGCCAATGGGTGGAAATCAATGTCGAACACTTGGCTGTCGCAGTAGATCTCCTCAGGCGTGTGGTCGTCCAGGTCTCCCATGGTCAAAGGACTCAGTCAATACAAAGACACTTTTTGACTGGCTTGAATGCGTTCAACAAACAGTCCGTCTTTTGGTATTTAGACTTCAGAGCTACTTTAAATAGGGAAAACAAGAAAGGTGGAAAAATGTCTTCGACATTTACAAAATGTACCCATGCGTCAATTGCGACTTGTTATCCTAACATGCAACACCTACAGGTAATCTGAAAATACCAGATGTTCGTCAAAATGCGTCGCAACAGGATTCTTCTGGTTCGCTAGCTCGCGGGAAATCGAGGCAAACGTGGCTTTGAGGCGCCGCTTCGGTACGTCAAAGCGCTTTCGGTTGCGAGCAATTTTGGCTCGATTCACTTCCACGATAAAGCTCTGGGGCAAGTTCGGCAATGCGGAAATAGCAGATAATGGCTGCTCCGCAGTCGTCCTTTTTCCAAGACTGCTACTGCTATCTGCAACCACCATGCTGCCGGAGCGGCCATTACGCACTAGAAAGTCCATTTCCGGCGCGGGAATCTTGCGAAGAGCTTTACGACCTGAAGCTTTTTCTTTTACAGTGTCCATGAGCGATGCCACGTTGACTCGAAACTCACGCAAAAGTCGCTCGGGTGCAGGCACGTACTTGGACCGGTTATCCCACTTTTGATTCGAGTGGCCACCCTTACCGATAACCTGTACTAGCTTGTCCAATTGCGCCATACCGGCATCACCAAGATCGACGCGGTTGCGGTAGTGGCGGCGCTGTTGACGCTGCTTGGCGTAACGCTTCACGTCTCCGACGTAATCCTCGTTCACGAAGTCGAAAATCACGCCCGCCGTTTGCTTTGGGTTGCCTAGCGCAAGCGCCTTTGCCACAACGGCCGATTGTTTCATACAAGGATGCAAAAAGCGCGTCAACACCGCGCGTTGTTCTCGACCATAGTGAAGCTGACCTGGTATCATCGCACCTGTCGTGTGTCGTTTCAGTACTGCTGACACTGGTCCAGCATCTCCCATGACACTTGCCGCAGCACTACATCTACCAGCAGCACTCTTCCTGTCGCGTACTGATGCACGCCGCATGCTGTCCAGAACAATCTTCTCGCCGAAAAGGTGCGTCAGCGATGTCTCCCACAGCAATTGCTGCAACCTGCTCAAATTGCAGCTGTCCAACATCGTCCGTGCACGTAAAAACCAGTCGTTTCTCGATGGCGCACCAATACTCCTCCCCTCTTCAATAAGGCCCAGTGCACGACTATCGTCGTTCTCCTGATCGTGCGCCTTCTGCCAGGCATAAAAACTACACCACTTTTCCGACGAAAAATCAAAGCTCTGAGCAAACTTGGACACGCTCCGGAACGCATAGCCACTGATAGCCACGCGTCCAGCATAAAAGAGCTTCAAGAGGTCCGAGCTCGATGCCTTGCCCGAGTAGATCCACAAAAAGTCATCCATCGAGATCGTCACGTCGCACGTGGAATGCACGTCTCTAGCGTCCACATTCTTACGCGTCACCACGCGCTGGTCGTTATTAATCTCAACCGCGTACGTCGTCTTGGGCTCCGCGTCGCTCGTGCTCTTAAACTTGAACAAAATCGTGCCGTGGAAACTCGTGCTGGGCTTGACGCTGAACTTGAGAAACTCCATCACATCATCGATCTCGCGCTCCTTCTGGGGGTTCACTGCTAGAGGTGAATCAGATGCAGACGTGGACTCAGTCCCATGCTCTGCTGTGTCCGTGGCGACATGAGCAGCTACTGGATCGGTCATTCTTGGCTTGGCTTTTGTATGATGACTGAATGGATCAAATGTGACAAGAGAGACGAACAGACTTAATTATAAAATGGGCGCTCTCAGGACTTTTCGGCGAATCGTCTTGCTTCAGTATGATTGTGGTAGGGGTAGGGTGCGATGTTGATTGGCGCTCAGGAGCACTGGCGGCGGTTTTCTTGTAATGGATACAACACGCAGGCGTCGGAAATCTAGTTACAGAGACGTGGCGTACGTGACAGCATCTAACGGCACGCAATACAACAACTGACAGGACCTTTGGCAAAAGAATGTGCACTTTCTTAAATTAAGGGCGTTGTCAATGTCCCATATACTCGAGCCTGACTTGTGAAGTGCCAGCTAGTCTCGAGCGTCCATTATTCGTAGCAGCCACTGTGAAGATGCAATAGGCGACAAGTCTCGAAATAGAACGTAAAGTGGACAGCGACGACAAATGCGACGTGATCGATGACGACCATGGATGAGGTGTCTGCCAAGAATCCACTATAAGTGGCTATCGTCTCAAATGGACGACACGGCGACATAGTTCCTACTGCGTGCTTGCGCTTGCGACACCGAGTGCGAGTCTTTTGCGACGCGTAATGCTTTCTCGGTATGAGGCAGCACAATACAGTCTTCCCTCTGCTAAGTTATAGACTTGGTGGAAGGCAAATCCTATAACATAGCAGAGGTTATTCCATAGCAGAGGTATGCTGCGGAAAAATTATTAATGTAATTAATTAAAGAATCAAAAACGCAACAAACCTCCAGGCTTCCAAAACCTGTCTGTCACGTGTCACGTGCTGTAACGGGGTGAGAGCCCGTTACCGTCTTACACTAATAATTAAGCTGAGGAAGCGCTGTGATTTATAAGGTAAATTTAACTCTGTTTGTATTTTTGTGTTTTTATAATTCGCAGTAAGTGCGAATATGTTCCCTAGCTCATGGGAACCACTCAAATACAGAACTAATTATTATTGGCTAATTATTGGGTCTGGCACCCCAATAATAAACCAATAATAAATAGACGCGCAGTATCCGCTATCCGGATACTGCCTACACTTAATGTATGTAATTATGTAATAAAACTATGACTACTTAATATAATGGGTTGCCCCATTACACGTGCCCTATGAAGATTTTGTGATTTTGGTTGCCCCACCAGTCTCTGGTAATTTTGCTATCTCTAATTAAAAAGTTCCACCAACTGTACCTTGCTCACTCACAACAGATGTCGCAGATACGTCTTACCAACTTGCAGAAGCTGCGCATCTGCAAGCACCAGGATGCTAACCCGCGCATCACCCAGACTGCCCTGGCGGCTTGGACAAAGGACGCCTTTGACCTCCAGAAGGCACTTTCCCAGGCAGCGATCAGCAAAATCATCAAAAAAAGGAAGGAGCTTGAGGCAATGGACACCACTGACCTCAGCGCTAAGCGTCCTCGGACTGTCCAGCACCCAGCTGTGGAGGAGGCCGTCGCCTTCTGGGTCTTGCAGTGCCAGCACCGTGGGGTCGCTCTCACTGGAGATCTCATACGGACCAAGGCTCAGACCTTTGCGGGATCAATGGGCGTCTCGGAGGAAAACATCAGCTTTTCGCATGGGTGGCTCCACAAATTCCAGCAACGCCACAAGCTGCGAGCTGTCCGCATTCATGGCGAGAGTGGCTCAGCAGATATGGGCGCTCTAGAGGAGGCTCTTCCACACCTCAAGGCCGTGGTTGCTGGTTATGCGCCACGTGACGTGTACAACATGGACGAAACTGGTAGGTCTGAGAATACAGTACAGTACTGTACTCATTGTACAGTACAGAAGCATCTCAAAGGCTCACTTTCTGTTCAGGTTTGTTCTACAGTATGACGCCCGACAAAATGATCGCCCAGCAAGAGGTCGAAGGGTTTAAAAAGACAAGGTACATTATTGCTCTCCTCTTGGTTTCCTGCGTTTCTCTGACACTAACAACTATTCTAGACGCGCATCACAGTTGCTCTCACGGCAAACGCTGATGGATCCGACAAACTCCCGCCGGTCTTCATTGGACACGCCAAAAAGCCGCGGTGTTTTGAGCGCAAGACAGCTGAGCGACTGGGCTTTCTCTACCGCAACAACAAGAAAGCCTGGATGACTGGCATACTCTTCCAGGAATGGCTGGGAGACGTCGACAAAAGTATGAAGGTAATTTGGGGCATGCCTTGAACATCATCGTTGTGGTACAGTAAAGGAGGTTTGACTAACGCGTTGACCACAGCAAAAGGATAGAAAACCCTGCTTCTCATGGACAACGCCCCTTCACACATTGTTGCTGACCTGAAACTCACCAACATCACGGTCCAGGTTCTTCCGCCTAATACGACTTCAAAGGTCCAACCCATGGATGCTGGGATTATTGCCGCATTCACGAGGCACTACCGCCGGCTGCATCTGCAGAATGCCTTGGACCGTGAAGAGCGCGGAGAAACCAACCTTTACAAGGTTGATCAGCTCACGGCCATGCGTTGGTCGCTGGCTGCGTGGAGCGAGATTTCCAGTGCCACAATCGCCAACTGCTTCCGTCATACGGGACTCATGGACGGTCCGGCTCTGCCGACTGGTGGGGGTGAAAACGAAGCCGGCACTGTTGGCCAGCAGGCCCAGCAGGAGGCAGCAGCTGCTGCAGTAGAGGAGCAGCGCGTGGAACAGGATCTTGTTTCGGCGCTGGAAAGGCTCCCGCTCCGCAATCCCATGTCGATCGCTTCTCTTCTCAATCCGGCTGAGGAGGAGGAGACGGCACATGCGGAGCTGACCGATGCCGAAATCATCAAGCTTGTTGAGGATCCGTATGGGGAGGAGGAAGGTGCTGCTGAGGCGGAGGAGGAGGTGGAAAAGCATTCGAAGGCTGAAAAGCTTGCCAGCCTTAGTCTATCCATCGCCCTTCTCGACCTTTCTCAGGATTCCCATCGTATAGCTCACCGGACCCTTCGCCAAGTCCAAGCTGATCTCCGTAGTGCGAGCACCACTCAGGCCAAACTTGATTCCTGGCTGAAGTAGATCCCTCTCCTCTTTCCACTCCTTTCTTGCAGTGAATAACAAAAAAAAGGTTCTGCGTACAATATTTCTGCTCACGGCGGACAAAAATATTCCCTCTGATAAGTTGTATTTGGCCCTCAGGCTATTCCGTATAACTTATTCCGTAGACACCATAGAACGAGGTCGGTGGAGACCGAATCCTATAACTTGCCGGAGGTCATTCCATAGCCGGGGATAACTTAGCAGAGGGAAGACTGTACTCGTATTTGTCCGGATCACACCACATACGCTCACGTCGAGTTATGGAATGTTAGCACACTCAGCTCGGTGCAGAGAATAAGCGCGGATGGACATCTGCGTCCAATGTGTTGACACTCGTCGACAGAATAAAATAAATCGCACTGACGGGCTATCGTATGCATACACCGTCACACGAAGGTCTGCATACGCATAATAAACCTGGTGCGGGTCTACTGCTGTTACTGTCGACTGATTAGTTGTTGCGATAGCGGTCGGGAGCCAGAAGCGACTTTCTTGCATTGAACATCAATAGCGTTTGAGCGCGATGATTTTCCAGCTACTTCCTACTGATAGAAAGCAATCTCGAATATTCTAATCTAAGCAAGCCTTCATCATCGAATTTGCAGCTTTTGTACACCTCTTCGTCTGCTGTGCATGGTGCGCGATGCACCAACACCGCAAATGTGAATTTGTCGAGTCCTACATGCCTCAAGATTTTAGTGAGTGGATGCAGAAAGCATCATTGAACTGACTGGAAACGACAAATCTAATGTACAAGTGTCTGGCTCTACCGGATGCTTGGCCGTTATCATCTTTCCTCGTTCATTAAAAGCAGCGAATATAGTAGTAATAGTAGTAGCGGTGATAGTAGTAGCGGTAATAGTAGTAGCGGAAATAGTAGTAGTAATGGTAGTAAATTCTGAACGTCGATTGAGGAGTAAATCGCAAATCCAGCACCAAACCAAATGCAAAAAATGCAGAAACCGCACCAGTTCCATAAAAAGTACCACCTCGTGACGGAATCAATGTGTACCACGATATTATGCGGGTGACTGATAAAAGTAGTCTGCAGGCGCCAAGAGTAGTATTGACGTTGAAAAACTATTGCTGCACTGCACTTGAAATGTCCGGCGAAAGGGCAGCGATCGACTTATGCGCAGTTCATGCGCCGCTGAACTGGTTTTGTCAATCACAACAAAAATGTCGCGGCGAAGAAATTTCACCTGGTGATGTTAACGATCCATTTTTTTAGGTGTCGCCACTTTTTACGACTGTGACCGCTGTGCCCGACATCCTTCCGAACGATTCTTGCCAGCAAGAATCCATTTCCATCTTACTGAACATGGCTGTTTGTAGCTCATAGCGACATCGTATTACTAAACAAATGGTGAAAACATTGTAGTGACAGGGGTCGTATAGCGGGGCACCGGAGCAACCAGTGTAACGGGGCAATGGTTACCGGTACTGCTTCAGTACTAGTGTACCTACACTGACCACAGTGTAGGAAGTGCCGCGCGTCACGTCACGTACACAGTACGTGCAGAGGAAGGCTATCTAGTGAACGATGCGTTCAATAGGAGTATAAAGTAAAAACTGTATTCGCGGCGGTGTTCAAACAGCTGCTCTTGACGAAGCTCAGCCTCTCGCGGCAGACGACTTTTCTTCTGCTGCCGCTGAAACTATTCCTGCAGCACCAGCTGCTGCAGAGGCATGTGGTAAGTCACCACGTGCTAATGATAATAGCTCCCAAGTATGGCTCATCTATTACGGGGAGTCGGAAGGTGTGTCCGACTTGAAGAAGACACATAGGTCACCCGGGTCTCAAAGGGAGACCAAGTACGAGCCTAAGAATAGGACTCAAGCGAGTAGTCGGACTCATGGTCACTACAAGAGTACGTTTAGCTCGAAGGATAAGTATTCTGAATCATCCCCTACGCCTGCTACTGCGCATTCGTTTCCTGGATAATGCGGTGATGTTTTGCAACGTCGTGATGACGATTGTAGTGATACCAAGACTTACGTTGCTACCGCGTAGACGACTCTAAACGGCAATGTGCAGCGTCTAGCCGCTGAACAAAAGCCTTAGGTTTTACCAGAAAATCTCAAGAATGGATTTTAGGCGAGACTAGTATTTATTATTAAATTCCACAATTCGATGCGAGGTTGTTGCACGGCCTCAAAATCAGCGCGAGCAACTTCCATGCTGAAGAAGACTTGTACATCGATGCTTTTCTCGAGCATCGTTGGTATTGCGGCAACAACAATCGAGACAAAAAACCGTTGCTGCAGGCGTAACACGTCTTTATGCTCAATGTGCAGCACATTGGGTGTAATTTATGGCTTCGAAAACTTGACTCAGGTCGTGTCAGGTTTGAGAAACGAACCTTGACTGGTGCAAAAGACTGGCTGCACTATCTGTCTCGTTAGGCAGGAGTTCCGTGTCTCACGTGGGGCCACCTATGTCCGTGTTGTTTCGATAACACGCAACGCAACCAAAGAGATGTGTGCTCCCTTTCTTCTCCCTAAGGTAGGACGTAAATCTCGTCTGAGATGCACGATGCGATTGCTAACCTGCAAACGCTCTGCCAGCGCCATGGGCGTGTGTTTTACGATAGATCTACTGTATCATCGGATGTGTCTCGTCGAAATGGTGGAAGAGACCCTCAACGTCAATCATCAGCTGGTCTCGAGGCAACCAGCTGTTGTGCGACAGCGGATAGTCGCGCCAGCGAACAAGATAAATCGCTCGCTACTGCTTCATGTTACGGTGGTTCAATGTAAGCTCCACATGAAAGCGTTGACCACCGTGCAAGTCCACCAAAACAGCTGTGGTTAGGGCGAAAATACCAATTGCAGACAGAGCTAGATCGTGCTCAGCACTTTTAACGCAATCTTTGCGATCGCACCGATCAATAGTGACAGGAGCGTCTCTCTTTGAATGCATGGGTGCAACACCTCCGCCTTTATCAACCAGATGACCGATGGAGTTCGCTTTTTAGTTATAGGAGAATGAGCGGAAGCGTCAAGACTTTCGCGAAGGAGTGATTGACCTTCGTTACCAGAAGGCGGCGCTATAGAGAGAATGAAACACTGGCTCAGTATCTTATTAATCTTGCGGGGGTTCTGGATCTTGGCGGGTGCATTCGCCTGATGAAGAGGCCTCATGCTGATAGTAGGGGCGGAGGCGACCGAAGTAACAAGTAGGATGCGTAAGCATCCTGTGAGGCAGCTCGATCGTGTACGGAATGACTTGGCCATGTAGTACATGAAAGGGGTCGATGCACTTGGGTAATTGTTTTCTACCACCCACGTTAGCTACTACGTGCTAAAATATTAAATTAGACAGTGAAACGAAGTCTCTAAAATTCAATAGATAAAACTATGCTCTATCATGTATGTCAGCGCTCCGTTTCTGCCGACCCACCGCGTTGTAGATAGAATCTTGCACGAAACAGACTGTTGCTTCTTACATAAACAGAAAGTTCTGTGCTGACTCACTTTGGTTTGTTGCAGTACGCCTTTTGCGCACCGTTAAGATGTCATCTTCTTCTTCAGCGAAGGTGTTCTCATCCTCTCTGGGGGGGGGGTAGTTGTTGGCGATGCTAGATATACCAGCATCGTCGTACTCGTCAGGGTCAGCAAAAGTGTCGTCACTATTTCTGAGTTTGTCTTCTTCGATGTCGATTTGATCTACATCGGCTAAGTTCGCGTCGCCGCGTATCTACACGCGATGAATAGGAGCCAGAACGGTTTTGCTCGAGCAAATCCCCCACCTCATATTCACAATCTAAATAGGTGGGTAGGCGTGGATGGCGTAAGCCGCTCACTAAAAACGATGTATGCGTTGTCGACGCATGCACGGGTTTGTTAATAGCAAAATCCACCATCGGCAAAAGGTAGCTCCAATCTATAGAAATAAGACGTGTCCTTGAAAAATTTCTTCGCGGACGCGGTTGGCGCGTTCTGTCTGACCATCTGTCACATGATGGCAACCATTGTGTGTTGTGTATCAATCCGCAGAGGATTGATACAAAGCCGGTATAACTGTAAGCGATTCTAGAGATAGAGTCACCGGATAATAATCAGTCGCAGAAGAGCCTTATATTCTGCGTAGGACTTTTTGATATAGTCAAGCAATGTTGACGACGGAACAATAGTGACTTATAATTAAACAGCGGTGGCAACCTCGCCGTTGGACTGCGCAGTGACTCGAAGTCGGGTCGGCGCTATAACTCGTCCGCGACGACATTAAGTCGTTCGGAATTGTAATCCACGGAGATATTGTACTCCGCGAAGAAGGACAGCCACTTCACCTTTCTTTGCGAGAGTTGTAGACTGTTTATGGCCGTGCGTAATGACGCATGGTCCGTATAGACTACAAACGGCCTGTATCCGAGAAAAAGACGCGAATCTTAGCCAGTGCGTACTTCATTACAAATAGTCCCTTTTCATGTACTTAATTATTACGCTCAGATTCTTGCAGCCGACGCGACTGATCATAGACGACGCGCTCTGCACCATCTGCTTCATACTGCATGAAGGCGCATCAAATTACTACATCTCTGGCGTCGCACACCACCTGTAATGGTCTGTTCTGATCTGCAATTGCCAAGATTGTCGATTGCAGTAAAATCTGCTTGATATTCTCATAGTAACGCTGGCAACTAGTGTCCCAGGACCACTTCTCATTCTTTTCAAGAGATGAGAGTTATATACGGTCATCTCGGCGTCTTTGCGCGCATACTTGTGTAAGTACGCCGCTAGAAAAAGTAACTAATGAAGTCCCTTGACATCGACTGGCACGGACCAGTCGGTGATCGCCTAAATTTTTTCCAGGGTCAGAGCGCACCCTGTGTTTATCCACGATGGACCCGAGAATTGGTATTTCGCTAGCAGCGAAAATGTACTTCTTGAGGTTGGCCTACAGACTTTGCTTCAACATAAGTGTAAGAGCCTGACGAAGTGTGTTCTGTGAACCTCTACGCTCGTCTTTCTGTACA